CTCACTAATTATATGGCTGGGTGCTGGGTAAATGCGGCTAATTAAACGTGTGTTAAAAGGTCACACGGCCAATGTGATGGCAACATTCAGGCAAGTGGAGTACGCATGACAAATGAACTAATTACAACCCCAAAGGGAAATTACCATTTGTCTTACAATGTATTAAAGTAAAAGTTTTAATTGTACAATTAGGGTATGGCGACGGGAGGCTAATGTAAGATACGCAGGATGTTTGTTAATTTTTTTGGTGTAATTGCAATTGCTAGACCACAGCTACCAAGCGCAATGAGGGGGGAATGGTTGTGTACTTCAGTGAGAAGCCGGCCACCTGAGTTCTAGTCCCAGCCAAGGCTAACACCAGTGGCCAGCGAGATCTACATCGGTTCGAGACCGCTCTCTTCACAAACCCGCACTGACCGCCACGGTGAAGTGTGGTCACGCGACTCCATGGCAGAAATGTTTGGGGAGGCCTACATCAAGTAGCCTTTACATTATGATGTATTAATCTTACATTGTGTGGTGATACTGTGTTAGCAGAGGTACACAAGCACAAATAACAACAGACTCAGTCCATAGAGGAAGTCTCCTCTCTGGCCTTTGTTTTTTCTGTGAAGGGCCCATTTCCCAAAACGTCGCCTATTACACACGTCTCATTTTAAGGCCACGGTGCTATCGATGGATTCTTCACTTTGGATTGCGCATACATCCACAAGGCGTTATGTAACACCGGGGCTGATGGGTGTTGCTAGTGGAGTCGCACCGATGACGATGCAGCTCGGCGACCTGCCGCGGAGTTGCGATCACAAAGGGCAACGAGACACCGAGCGCCACCACCACCACCACCGCGCGTCCCCCGGGGGGTTACGTTTCACAAGTCGCCACCCTTGTGCAACCCACGGCGGCCGCCAGGGCCGTGCATAGGGAGGGTGCGGGGCCTGGGGTAAATCGCACCGTGTAGGCAACCCCCCCCACACCGACACCTTCAATCTAGTCCAGAAGTATTACATCTGACGCCGTGATATCGAAGCCCCGTGACACCCCCCCCCCCCAAGCGCGGGGCCCAGGGCGGTCGCCCCGATTCGCCCTACCAGTAGGGACGGCTCTGTCAGCAGCGGCAGCGTCCACAACTGCTGACACCACCAATGCTGCACGAAAGTAATGGGGGGAAAGCTCCACCGCATTGCAACGCCAAAAATTCTACAAACGGAGATGGCCGCGTTGTAACACCGGCAAAGTATCTATTAAGGCTGGCACGTAAATATTCCGGATGTCAAAAAACCCACAACCAAAACGTTGTGGGCAGCAGAGGGCAGTGTCATAAAACAGTGTTGCACTGTACATTCAAGCTCCCACGTCTCTGCTCTCCGCAATCATCAACCCGAATGAGCACACATCGTGCAGCCCTTTCGGATGAGGGCCTCCCCATGCCGTGCCGATCAGAGGGGGGGGTGGTATATGAACAAACTTCACCACGCTGATCAACGCGAGTTGGCGAAGCTGGGGAGAGCACAGACATGGAAGCATAGACGTACGGTACAACAACGGATTTTGCTGCCTGTGCCCAACTGTCACCTCGCAGCGGCCTGTAACACCTCTTTGATGCACGGCGGCCACCCATCCGAGCACTAACGAGGCTCAAACCTGCTTATCTTACGAAATCTGATATTTCTACATTCCAGGTGATTTATTCATACAGAATGCAACAATATACGTGTTACCCGTTATGTGTTTTGACATTTCTAGTATTTACTTGCCAATGGTAATAATGAAAGTTCTGTTGTTTCAATGCAGAATTCCCCGACTGTAAACAGCTGCTGCAATTAATAACTTGGGGGAAGGCGTGTCCACACGAATCAGAATCAGCACGTGCGTGCATGTTGGCTTGAGTCACCCCGTGGCGTGATACGCCAGCGCAGAGGTCAGTGACAAAGCGGACCTGGTCAGGGGTCACTGGACCCATGGTGCACAGGGGTCACTGGACCCATGGTGCGCAGGGTGAGGAGGTGAGAAGGTCACGGGGCAAAGAGCACGATGGGTCTAAGCTCCTTAGGGACCGTGAGGTCCCAGGGTTCAGAGGTCTCAGCCACTGTTCAACAACCAGGCAAAGCTGTTAAAAACGAGCAGTGGGGTGTTTTTAACACACGTCACATCGTCATTTTAAAATAGTGTTAACTTAGAGAGTTTTAGCAAATCCACTACAGGATGAAAGTTTCTCCACACCATGTTGGCCACAGGGTTTATTTGACCATACTTCGCCAAGTTCGTCAGCGCGGGGGCTGGTGACGGCAGTGAGCATAGAAGTACAGCTAAATAGATTTTCTGTGCTTTCCACTGCTGCACACCACGTAGCCCCATGCCAATCTCGAAGACAACCTGTTGGTGCATGGTTGGTCTCCCATCCAAAACTATTCAAGCTTAACCCTGCTTAGCTGGAGCTTTGACGAGACAGAGTTCATTTTGGGTGACTTCGTCACCTCCCGAGTAAATCCTTAACAATGATTAAATACATTGGTCATTTAAATAGTTTCAGTACTGTATACAGGCAGAGCTGTGGCGCAGTGGGTAGCGCGTTGCGCTATGAAACCGGCAAACAGATTTTGATTCCTGGCCACGGCTAACATCAGTGGGCGAGTGATTTCAGATGTCACAAGCGGTCCTGCTTCACCAATCCACACTGACCAGCGTGGTGATGTATGGTCAAAGAAACCCCAGGATCAACATGACATGGGGGGGGGGGGCATCATCCACTGGTGTATTGAGAAAGGCTGGAATTTATTATAATTATTTATTGTATATAAGTTTTGCAAATGGAAATTTTACTTTTTTCCCAGGACCCAGTAGTGCTGGGGTCAAGCCATGGGGGTAGACTGAGTGGCACTGTATGTTTGAGTGGTCGTGATGTCCTTGCTCCCAAGAGATTTGTCACTGCCGATGCCAAAACAGCAGACAAGCAGGCCAGGAGGAGCAGCACGCTACCCGCTGCGCCACCACTCCGCCAACTACATCCCTGCAGCATGGACGCTTGCAACTGCAGTAGTCCTCCATGCGCACTGGCCTGCACCATTACAGAATGTGGATTCTTCTAGCAACTGCATGCGACCGCGTCTCAAGAAGCTGTCCGGACACAGTGGGAATTTCGATTTTGTCAAGAGGCATTCAGTGATACGCAGACAAATACAAGGTAAAATTTGAGCCTGGAATTAAACAGGGGCAGGGAATCAACTGCACAGATGAATTATGGAAGGGAGTTCTAAGCAATAGCGGGAGCAGGGAAGAATGAGCGACCTCCCAATGAAGGGACAACTGGAGGCATTGAAATTGGAGGCATTGAAATTAAAGCCTTGGTTGATGAACCGGAGATGAGAGGGGAGAAGTATAAGAGTGCATGGAGAGGAGTAGAGTGAGATGAGGGGAGAGAGAGGGGAGTGAAATGGGAGGAGAGAGATAGGTGAGTGCATGGAGGAGAGGAGAGTGAGATGAGAGACAAGCGATAGGCATGGACGAGTCCATAGAGGATCTTGAAGACATCAGTGAGTGCGATCTTTAAATTGCACCGAGGATTGAATTGGGAGGCAGTGCAGGGAATGGGGTGATGTGGCTGCCTTCACGGGCACTGGTGAGAGGTCTGGCAGAAGCATTTTGGGTCATCACCTGCATCGAAACGACCTGCGAAATGCTCTCTTACAGACTGGTTTACCTGCCACACGCTCACCTATGCAATTTGTTCACCTGCCTCTGTAAACCCTATCACATGCTCACATTCATACGCAAAGACTCAATAAAGAAACTAACACAAATTCCACCACAATGCCCTCCTGATAAGTATATGGACTCTGAGAGGATTTCCCGCTTAGAGATCGGAGAATGAGGATTTGGCGATAATTCCTTGCAGCACAATCACCTGCAGCCACAAGCCCAGCGAGCCCTGCAGCACACTCACCTGTGTTTACCTGGCCTCACCTGGCCATGTGTACGCGTGGGTTATTGCGCAATACCAAGACACAGATGTGAAGTGTAGTGCAAGCATAGTCAAGAAAGGTGCACACACACATCTCCCTGGACACACACATCATACTTAACCACCTGAACATACACGTCACGCACACACACCTGTGCACACTTACACCATTCACATAATCACACACACACACACACCTGGATACACAGACACACCTGGACACAGTACACACAATTTGTACTTGCACACCAGAACAAGCACAGGTGCTGTTCACCACCAAGTGGCGGTGAGGTTACCATGGGGCTTGTGCCAGGCTAGGTGCACACTGTGGGTGTCAAGTGAAGTGTGGAAGGCTCGCTTGCTGGCAAGTCAACACCTCGTGCACACAAAGACAAATACACACAAAGTACACCGACGAAAACACCATCACACACACGCAACGGAATGTACACCAAACATTTTAACTGGCTTAAATTATCCGAATGTAAAAAAAGATGCAAGGAGCATGCTGAAAAAGGTAATTGGACTAAGTGTGGCTTTCTTGTGTAAATAATCATCACACGAGAATCATTCGCATACAACACGTGCACAGTGCACCATACACACCTACACCCACCTGCACGCACTGTACATCTGCACACCGAAAACTTAAACCAATGTGAACATACTTTACATATACAGTACCCCACGCCAAGCACACGTGAATATAGCAACCTAAACACATGCACAGCTCAACATGGACAATCGAAACATCTCAACACAAACTCACCACACACACCACACCTGTAAACACAAACACATTTGCCGTCCAGGTGCAAATTCCATATCACCACAACAAACACCTCCACCATTACCATCACGTCCACCACCACCACCTCCACCACTACCATCACCACCTCCCACTACCATCACGTCCACCACCACTACCATCACGTCCACCACCACTACCATCACCTCCACCATTACCATCACCACCTCCCACTACCATCACGTCCACCACCATCACCTCCAATGCGACCCCCACTGACACGACCCCACACACCTTGCACTGACATGGGCCCCACAGGCGAAGGTGGCTGCTGCTGTTGCTGCTGATGATGCTGCTGCTGCTGATGGTGCTGTGGATGCTGTTGTGGGTGCTGCTGCGGATGCTGCTGCTGCTGGTGGTGGGGCTGCTGGTGAGGCTGTCCATTCATGACCGGCCCCGCCATAGGAACGGGGATATGCGGCTGCGGCGGTGGCACGCACACGGCACACAGGGAGTGGAGGCATGGCAGCAGCTTGGGCTCCCGCCTCTGCAGGGCCTGGCCACAGGCAGCGCAAGACTCCAGGAGATTGAGAGGAGGAGGTGGTGGAGGTGGTGGTGGAGGTGCAACCTCCTCGCCGGGCACGGCCTCCTCTTTGTTGCTGCTGCTGCTGTTCCTGCCGTCCTCCTCCTCCTTGCTGCTGCTGTTGTTGTTGACGATGTTGTCACCGTCAGACGCTTTCTCCGCGTCGTCGTGTTCAGGCCCCGCGGGCCCGGCCGCCTCGGAGGCCGCCTTTGTGTGGGAGCCCGCGGGGTCCGGCGTCAAAGCGGGGCCCGCCGACAATGCGGCCTGCTGCTCCGGGGGCGAGGCGCGGCCTTTGTCATCTCCTCCTCCTCCTCCTCGCGGCCCCGCGTCGCCCTGGCCGCCGCCGCCGCCGTCTCCCGCCTCCTGCTCGTGCTGCGAGTGGAGGAGAAGCCGCAGCTGCGGGTGCTGGTTGAGGTGGTTGCTGCTGCTGCTGTGGTGGTGGTGGTGGTCGTGGATGTGCTCGGCGCCGACGAGGACGGGCACGGCGATTTCTCCGTTCGCCCCGGTCACGCTGACCAGCACCACGTCGTCCATGGCCGCTCCGACACTCCGGGGCTCGAGGCCGCGGCCTCCTCCGTCTCACTCCTCCTCCTTTCTCCTCCTCCTCCTTCACGTCGTTGTCCTCCACGTGCTCGCGCCTCGTCAACCACCACTACCTCCTCCTCCTCGTCGTCGTCGTCGTCCTCCTGCACTGGAGTGGCCGAATGAGGCTTGGAATCCAGCCCCGTCGCCCGAGACTCGCACACACCGCGCGCTCTCTCCGGCTGCTGCTGCCCCCACCGCAGACGCCGCCGCCATCAACGTCACCCAACTCGGCAGCAGCCGCGGGCGGCGCGGGGAGAGCCACAGCGCCCCCTGGCGGGCAGCGGGGACGACTCAGACTACACACAACTCTCACAGACTACACACAACTCTCACAGACTACACACAACTCTCAGACTCTCACAGACTACACACAACTCTCAGACTCTCACAGACTACACACAACTCTCACAGACTACACACAACTCTCACAGACTACACACAACTCTCAGACTACACACAACTCTCACAGACTACACACAACTCTCACAGACTACACACAACTCTCACAGACTACACACAACTCTCACAGACTACACACAACTCTCACATACTACACACAACTCTCAGACTCTCACAGACTCCACACAACTCTCAGACTCTCACAGACTCCACACAACTCTCAGACTCTCACAGACTCCACACAACTCTCAGACTCTCACAGACTCGACACAACTCTCAGACTCCACACAACTCTCACAGACTCCACACAACTCTCAGACTCTCACAGACTCCACACAACTCTCAGACTCTCACAGACTCCACACAACTCTCAGACTCTCACAGACTCCACACAACTCTCAGACTCTCACAGACTCCACACAACTCTCAGACTCTCACAGACTCCACACAACTCTCAGACTCTCACAGACTCCACACAACTCTCAGACTCTCACAGACTCCACACAACTCTCAGACTCTCACAGACTCCACACAACTCTCAGACTCTCACAGACTCCACACAACTCTCAGACTCTCACAGACTCCACACAACTCTCAGACTCCACACAACTCTCACAGACTCCACACAACTCTCAGACTCTCACAGACTCCACACAACTCTCAGACTCTCACAGACTCCACACAACTCTCAGACTACACACAACTCTCAGACTACACACAACTCTCAGACTACACACAACTCTCAGACTACACACAACTCTCTCAGACTACACACAACTCTCAGACTACACACAACTCTCAGACTACACACAACTCTCAGACTACACACAACTCTCTCAGACTACACACAACTCTCTCAGACTACACACAACTCTCAGACTCCACACAACTCTCACAGACTCCACACAACTCTCAGACTCTCACAGACTCCACACAACTCTCAGACTCTCACAGACTCCACACAACTCTCAGACTACACACAACTCTCAGACTACACACAACTCTCAGACTACACACAACTCTCTCAGACTACACACAACTCTCACAGACTACACACAACTCTCAGACTACACACAACTCTCAGACTACACACAACTCTCAGACTACACACAACTCTCAGACTACACACAACTCTCACAGACTACACACAACTCTCACAGACTCCACACAACTCTCAGACTCTCACAGACTCCACACAACTCTCAGACTCTCACAGACTCCACACAACTCTCACAGACTCCACACAACTCTCAGACTCTCACAGACTACACACAACTCTCAGACTCTCACAGACTCCACACAACTCTCAGACTACACACAACTCTCAGACTACACACAACTCTCTCAGACTACACACAACTCTCACAGACTACACACAACTCTCAGACTACACACAACTCTCAGACTACACATAACTCTCACAGACTACACACAACTCTCAGACTACACACAACTCTCACAGACTACACACAACTCTCAGACTACACACAACTCTCAGACTACACACAACTCTCAGACTACACACAACTCTCACAGACTACACACAACTCTCACAGACCCCACACAACTCTCACAGACTCCACACAACTCTCAGACTCCACACAACTCTCACAGACTACACACAACTCTCAGACTACACACAACTCACAGACTACACACAACTCTCAGACTACACACAACTCTCAGACTACACACAACTCTCAGACTACACACAACTCTCAGACTACACACAACTCTCAGACTACACACAACTCTCTCAGACTACACACAACTCTCACAGACTACACACAACTCTCAGACTACACACGACTCACAGACTACACACAACTCTCAGACTACACACAACTCTCAGACTACACACAACTCTCAGACTACACACAACTCTCAGACTACACACAACTCTCAGACTACACACAACTCTCAGACTACACACAACTCTCAGACTACACACAACTCTCAGACTACACACAACTCTCAGACTACACACAACTCTCACAGACTACACACAACTCTCAGACTACACACAACTCTCAGACTACACACAACTCTCACAGACTACACACAACTCTCAGACTACACACAACTCTCAGACTACACACAACTCTCAGACTACACACAACTCTCAGACTACACACAACTCTCAGACTACACACAACTCTCACAGACTACACACAACTCTCACAGACCCCACACAACTCTCACAGACTCCACACAACTCTCAGACTCCACACAACTCTCACAGACTACACACAACTCTCAGACTACACACGACTCACAGACTACACACAACTCTCAGACTACACACAACTCTCACAGACTACACACAACTCTCACAGACTACACACAACTCTCAGACTACACACAACTCTCAGACTACACACAACTCTCAGACTACACACAACTCTCAGACTACACACAACTCTCAGACTACACACAACTCTCTCAGACTACACACAACTCTCACAGACTACACACAACTCTCAGACTACACACAACTCTCAGACTACACACAACTCTCAGACTACACACAACTCTCAGACTACACACAACTCTCTCAGACTACACACAACTCTCTCAGACTACACACAACTCTCTCAGACTACACACAACTCTCAGACTACACACAACTCTGAGACTACACACAACTCTCAGACTACACACAACTCTCAGACTACACACAACTCTCAGACTACACACAACTCTCACAGACTACACACAACTCTCAGACTACACACGACTCACAGACTACACACAACTCTCTCAGACTACACACGACTCTCACAGACTACACACAACTCTCAGACTACACACGACTCACAGACTACACACAACTCTCAGACTACACACAACTCTCAGACTACACACAACTCTCAGACTACACACAACTCTCAGACTACACACAACTCTCAGACTACACACAACTCTCTCAGACTACACACGACTCTCACAGACTACACACAACTCTCAGACTACACACGACTCACAGACTACACACAACTCTCAGACTACACACAACTCTCACAGACTACACACAACTCTCAGACTACACACAACTCTCACAGACTACACACAACTCTCAGACTACACACAACTCTCACAGACTACACACAACTCTCACAGACCCCACACAACTCTCACAGACTACACACAACTCTCAGACTACACACAACTCTCAGACTACACACAACTCTCACAGACTACACACAACTCTCACAGACCCCACACAACTCTCACAGACTACACACAACTCTCAGACTACACACAACTCTCAGACTACACACAACTCTCACAGACTACACACAACTCTCACAGACTACACACAACTCTCAGACTACACACAACTCTCAGACTACACACAACTCTCAGACTACACACAACTCTCACAGACCCCACACAACTCTCACAGACTACACACAACTCTCAGACTACACACAACTCTCAGACTACACACAACTCTCACAGACTACACACAACTCTCACAGACTACACACAACTCTCAGACTACACACGACTCTCAGACTACACACAACTCTCAGACTACACACAACTCTCAGACTACACACAACTCTCAGACTACACACAACTCTCAGACTACACACGACTCACAGACTACACACAACTCTCAGACTACACACAACTCTCAGACTACACACAACTCTCAGACTACACACAACTCTCACAGACTACACACAACTCTCACAGACTACACACAACTCTCAGACTATACACAACTCTCACAGACTACACACAACTCTCACAGACTACACACAACTCTCAGACTCCACACAACTCTCAGACTCTCACAGACTCCACACAACTCTTCACAGACTCTCAGACTCTCACAGACTCCCCACAACTCTCTACAACTCTCACTGACTCTCTCAGAATCTCTGACTCTCCACAACTCTCACACTCCACACAACTTCCCCAGACTCCCCACAACTCTCAGACTCCCCACAACTATTACAGACTCTCTTAGACTCTCCAAGACTCTCCTAGATTATCCAAGACTCTATTAGACTCTCCAAGACTCTCCCAGACTCTCCCAGATTATCCAATACTCTATTAGACTCTCCAAGACTCTCTCAGGCTCTCCCAGACTCTCCCAGATTATCCAAGACTCTCCAAGACTCTATTAGACTATCCAAGACTCTCCCAGACTCTATTAGACTCTCCAAGACTCTCCCAGACTCTCCCAGATTATCCAAGACTCTCCCAGACTCTCCCAGATTATCCAAGACTCTCCCAGACTCTCCCAGATTATCCAAGACTCTCCAAGACTCTCCACAACTCTTCCAGCCTCTCCCAGCCTCTCCACAACTCTTCCAGACTCTCCCACTCTTCGAAACGATGCCAGACTCTCCACACAACTCTCCCCGTATCTTCCCAACTCTCCAAGATTTCCCCTGTATCTCCCCAGCTCTCTGTCTCTCCTAGAATCTCCATACTATCAATGTCTTGTCTATTGCAACTATCTGTCCCGGTCAACCCGTCCTGTCTCTCCCAACGCTCTCGGTCTCAACTCTCCTGGCTCTCCCACACTCTCCCCGTTCTCTCTCCACACCTTCATCTTCACCTGTCCCAACGGTGTCGCTGTCGAGTGTGCAGGCGGTGCAACTGCACCGGGGTCCACGGACCGGAAAGGCTCAGGCGCCGTGCTTTGAAGGTGTGGGTGGGAAATTGACAATGGGGGCCAAAATCCACCGTATCCCTCTCCACCACTGCTGGACACGCACTCTGCAGTCTCCTCTTGTCCCCGTCGATTCTTCGACCTCCTCCTCCTCCTGGACCCCCTCCCCGCGGACCCCCCTGCAGAGCGGCCATGTAATTGGTAACTCTTTACCCCAGCGAGGTGCCCCGCTGGGCTTCTAAGGGACACGTGTGAGTCACGGAGACGTTGACACGCGGCGCACTCACGCCGGGGTTGCCGTTTACCCACCACCCCCTCGGCATTCTCACAGCCCCCCCCCCCCCCCCCCCCCCCACAAAGTTACAGTCTCACACTGGGGGCTCCCTGCAGCCGTGTGCGCTAATTGCCCCCCCGAAGGGCCTCATTATGCAAAGCTCTGCCAGCGGGCAGGATGCCTGCATGCCCCCCCCCCCCCGCGGCTACTCTGCAGCGGGGGAGGGGGGGGCCGAGCAGTGACCTCGTTGAGTCTCAACACTTTCTCAGGAGGATTCCGCTGCTACATCGGGACGCTTGGCCAGTTCCGTGAATACAAACCGCCTGGTTTCGCAGTGCGGGAGGAAATCGGAGCATCCGGTGAACATCAACCAGGCAGAGAAGGGGCCAAAACAGACGGGGCGAGGAACCCACCTACCGCACGGCCACCTACCTGGCCGCCTCGCAGCCCAGCGGGATATCTCTCACGAACCCCCAGGTGAACCGGCAACCCTTGCTAAAATGCGCCGGGCCGGCTCAATCAGGATGCATTCTCTACATTCAGGAAATCTCGTTCGCTACCAGGGACGGTAATGGCTAGCACAAGATTGGACCGCGTTACACATTCCCACAAACATCCTGGACACAAGAGTGAACGTAAGATCCTTTCAATGTTTACACGCCAATATAACACGTGACGTTTGTGTTCAGTACTCTATACGGCAGTTCCCATCTCATAAAAGGCTGATTGTGTCAGTTTGTCCTTTCCGGGTAAATTCAGGTTCACGCCATACGTCCATAATAAAGGTTGTTGGGTGAGATCGCGTTAGTATAAATGTGTCGCAACCCTCCACCACCCGACACGGCCAATCAGTAAGAAATGTGTCACGTTAACAAGACGCCAATTCGTTACTTCTTCAGCTCACCGGTGTTTGAAGAGCGAATCCACAATATTTACATTTGAGTTCGATTCACTCTTCAAACACACCGGTGTGACCTAAATTCGAACTAAGACCATTGTGTGATCACCACCACGGAGTAGCCAGGGCTATTCTACTCCTTTTGCAGCGGTTTCAACCTTTTGGGTCTCATCAGTAAAATTCGAAGTGAGGCCGGTTTATTGAACCGAGATGGTCGAACCTGTTTAGAATTTGCCTGCTTCAGAAAGTGCCGTGAAACAAGTCCGGAAGGCCCATAGGCTGATGGACCTGAATAACTTTTTTTTAGACAGAGAATGATCTTATAATTTTACCCGTAATGCTTTGCAGCAGCACAACATCATCAACAGCCATGACCAATCCACTCCTAAATGGACTCTCTAAGCCATCGCCATCTCGCATGGCCTTGCGATGGTCAACACACCTAGCACCTGCACACGCGGCAAATTTCATCGCTCAATCGCTGGGAAGTTGGCTCTGGTTGTGTTGGAAATCCCAGGTAATTATTGGGTCACACCGCACCTGCACACCACACTTGCTAGCACCTCCAGCCGTAGACAAACAATGCGAACTCATTTGACAACTCACCCGGCTTTGTACTTGACACCCAACTATCTGACCTGTCTGCGTTTAAAGTTACACACCTACGCAGGCCATGTGTTGTTCATGAGGAGCGCCCTTTATTCTTTCACGGAGAGTCAGGTGGAAGCGTTGAAGGAAAGGGAACCCATGGCAGGTGACAGGTGACCAGGGCACATCCTGAGAGAGCTTATCAGGCGGCGAGGCGTGACAGGGAAGGTGAGGATGTCCGTACAGAGCGGAAAGAGGAGGCGAAACAAACCGACATCAACACCGAGAAGCGAACACAAAACGTGGAAATGGGTCCTAACCAAGTGCCGCTTGGTTAGAGGTAGGGGGTTTCGGTTAATGAGGGCTTTACGACCAGCTGATTGGTTAGTCGGTTGGGGTTTTTGATAAGGCGAGTACTAGTGACTGGAATGATTAGTTATGATGGTTAAACTAGTAGTAAGTGGGAGGGCTGGAGCTTGTGGCTGGTTGACTTTGGTTAGGGATTGTACTTGTGGCTGATTCGCTATTTAGTTGTGGAAAGTACTAGTGACTGGGTAGTTAAAACCAGTGGAGGCTGGTGCTAGTGGTTCGTTGGATAGATGGTTAGGATCCGTTGGAGGGCCATTACTAGTGGCTGGTTGACGAGTTAGGGTTAGATGCCGTGTTTGGTTGGCGAGTGTACTCTACCCCAATCCTGCTTGTTCCTCTTCGCCCCCTCTGGCGTCTCCTGCCTGACCTCCTGCGCCTCTATCGAAATCTCAACGCACTGCCTGCCACTAGGGGCGCCTCAACACTGCGAAAGACGATATGGCATTGTGAATAGCAAGGACTTAACAATACAAGCACGTTTGTCCAAACACCCAATCCTGCCTTCTGTCAAGCGGACGGGCTAAACATGCAATCTGTCACGAAAATGTCATCAGCGGTCGGGCACAATGACGTGCAGCAGCTGATATGTGAAACATACAAATCATGATTTAACCTTTGAAGGGGAGCAAGGTATATGACGGTCTTTTTTTCTGGGTCGAGATGTTGCATGGCTGTCTTATTCATGAGTTTGGACTCGATTTATACAGAATAATTTGTTTGTGGCTACTTTGTGGCAGGGCACTTGGAAACACGAGACGCAGATGGGTTGACACGATAGTAAAGTTACTGAGGGTACAGGTCACGAGGTCACAAGCTGATGGTGTTCCCATGGCTCCATGTGGAGAAGCCTCTGAACGACATCTTCTGTCGTGCAACGCCAGCGATGCAGGGGGCTACATTGTGCCACTCTTGCACCCAAACACGAGCTCATTAGACATTCTGCGGAGGGCCCCGAATGTTGGGAGTCACTTCCCCGTGATGTGGGCTTGACGCGTTGAATCAAACAGAGTTCTCGGCACTATAATTTGCTGGTGGAATGAAACAAACAATTTGGATAATCACACCGACAGCTAGATTGCAGCAATTTCCGTAACAAGAGAAAACAATTCTGGCTCAACATAAAACTCAGCATGTTGGGTAAGAAATATAGATTGTATTTATTGAAATGGTTAAAAGTGTATATGTGAGAGAGTGAATAATAACCACCCTCCATCTTGAGAATACAAGACATACAGCACGTCGCGAATAAGCAACGTGACAGTTTTGAATAAAAATAAATACATGTGTATAAAGACTGGCACAGACGCGCATGCAAGCACCAACTTGCAAATTTTTCAACGAGTTGACAAGCGGAGATCCAAATGAGGGCTGACGCCTTTTAAAAAAAGGGGACAAATAGTTGGCACCACAGTTGCCAATTTTAGAACATTACGACAAATGGGAATTTACGCAGGTGTCATTTCAGACTGGGGCCTGCCACTTTCAATTACAATGACAGGGATAAACGTTTCTCTCCTGTGTTAAGGTTGGCTATAAAATGTAGTGACATTTTATGCACGTTCTTAAAATGCAAATCAAAATTGTAATTTACAAGTTCATTGTCAATCGACTGCGGGATGGCCTCCCCATGCTGTTGTCAGTTGTTTGACCATACTTCACCATGCTGGTCAGTGCCAGTTGGTGAAGGGAGCAAGCCCAGGATCAGTTCAGATATCAATCTCCACCGATGTGAGACATTGCTGGGAATGGAACTTAGGTCGTCAGGCTCGCAGCACAGTACACACAATGGGTGTGCCACTTCTCCACCGCGTCGCTTCCACGATATATATGCATTACAGATGTGAAATTAAAGTAAAAATGTGAACAGGTGCGTCTGCATACAATGTAAAAAATAAAAAGAAATGTACCAATCTCCTCGGCCTACTGTAGTCCATGTGCTCAGACCAGATATTGAACCCGTCGGTTCCACCTGAGGAGGCATCACTTCAGCGGTTCATGAAATGTATGCAGCCACTCAGCGAATTACGTGATAACCATTTGAAATGAGTGGGGTTATCAACGCATCCACTCTTAGTGGCCATCCAAACAAATCGATACGACTAAAGTTTTGCTCAATTAGATGGTACCAATTTCCGCTCTGGCCCACGGACTACTGGTTAGCTGCATTAAGTAATCTCGTGTCGTTTATATTTGTTGATATTCGGAGGGGGATGTCACAGCACAGTGCCCACGCGTGCATTTGCACAAAACTGTAAAACCGCTTGTTCTACTCAACTGCTGTCACTGCGCAATTCCGTTCCTAGCCATTTAATTTAAAAGTTAAATTTGCATAGATTTTTTTTCGTTTGTCTCTCCATAATTAGCTACAAGGTGCATACACGCGTGACCATCGCAGCTGGCTTGATGGTTTACACATCAGCAGACGGCACCTCTGAGCACAGTGGACTCAAGGGCCTTGGCTACAGCCGCACTGCCGGGATAGGTCATGACCACTGTGCAATTCCCACCTTTTGACCACAACGTCAACTCTTCCATTACCGGATATGACAAACCAAACGCATAATTTATTAGCCAGACAAATGTGCAAGCGTCAAATGTCCCTGTGAAATCCATTCAGAGTCAATTGTCCTTTTTAAAACGTCCTCTTGAAAAGGTGGACACCATTAAAACATGAGAGTGCAGGGGCATCCAAGTCAATGCGTCCTGTGTCTGTTTAAAAATGCTATTTGGTAGCAAGATTGCATCAGGATATCTGGGAATATGGCTTACATGAATACGAAACTTAGAAGCAGAGCACGATTGAATATATAAAAATGCTATTCCTAACCTATAATTTTCGCCAGGGCTACAGAAGATTCTCATGATTTCACCATGTGTTGTGTGCGTACAAAAACAGCAACTTGGCACTCTATCGTGCATGGCAGAGAGTACACATACGTGGAGCCACACAATTATAGCATAACAGAAAAACGAAAAACTGTGGGCCGAGTGGAGTGTTTAACCGCTGCACTGCAGTCAACATAACGTGTCTTTACAGATGTAGGCAAGCGTGCGTGTTTTGCCGTACACTTGAGACGAACAGCAAAGCATCGCTGCTAATGTGGACAGATTTCCCAGTGATGTTCACACATGGCAGTGCTCGCAAATATGAAAATTGTTTTCACTCTTCAGTTTGTCAACACCCCCAGGGGACATGATGCCGAGCTGCGCGCGCGCGCGTAAACATCAGGGCGAAAATAAAAGCGATCACAGAAACACAGACGCTTATTTGACTGCTGCGTTCCCAGGTAGTCTTACAAAAACCGTACAGAAGCAAACGTTTTGATGAGAAATGTCGCGTTACTACACTTGCCGACATTGCGCCAACTCACGTCGTTCGGCACGTGGTCTCTGTACCTGCTGATATCATTACGTATTAAACCATAATGACAAATACTTGTCTCGGAATTTTTTTTTTACAGAGAATCACAGTTCAGAGTGTCACAATTGCACCCCGTGTTTTCTGTACATATATAGATAATCGTTGGCATCTATTTTTTACTTTTGAAATGTCAGGTTTTAAACTGTTAAAACTATGTAAGCTTCACAACTCATTCCGTTGTGGTCTGTAAGAGACACGAAGCTCACCTAGGTACATTTGCGAAGGTTACACAGATATCTCTTTTTAAGCACTTAAATAAACTGTATACAAGTATATATTTTCATATTGCATATAAGAACGCCACAGAAAGCAGATGAATAAAATACCATATTTGCAGTGATAAAAAAAAAAATCAAGTTGTAAGGCTGCAAAAATGGCCTTAGAAGCAGTCACTTGTTGAGTTTGGTACCATCAATGTCAAGCTACGTACAACACATTGAACTCCCCTTAAGTTACATTTAAAAAAGGAAATATTACGTGTAACACTGTCTTTCCTGGCTGACAAGGTTACTCACAAAATATGATCTTTGTGGATACATGATTTTATATATCTTAGCAATCTACTGTAAATTACTCTACCAATAATGACAGCTTATTGTACAGAATATAAACTTTGATAATACGGAGGTGCTTACATGGTTAGTCGCTGAAAGGATGTTTAATAGTATAATTTAATTGTTTCCTTAACCATTTTAAGACCCAGCGCCTAAACTGGAAACGTTGCTCCGAAGGTGACCCCCTCACCCGCTCCCCCGCCAAATGACGACAGAACCCCAGCGTCCACCCTCACCATCGCTACCCTCATCACGCAGAGGTCAACTCCATTGCCGTGAGGTCCGAGCACTCGTGTGACCAAGCCTCGACCACCCCTCGCAATCGTCTCAAAGCAGTGAGAATGAGTGGCCAGGCGACGATGTGCACGGAGCGCGACGAGCAGTCAGGGCGCACTGACACCGTTACGCGATAAAATTGCAATTAAAAACAGTCCCTTCGCAAGCGGCAACCGCAGTTAGGTTTGGCTGTGTAGTGTAAACTTAACGAGTATTAATTCATGCCAGAGCTGGAAGAAGAAAAAAATCAACTCACTCCCTGCTGCAAGCGTGGGCCAAGTGTTTTTTTCTCTCTTCGGTAATTCATGGGTTGTTATCGTGGCCCTAACATTCGACGTTACGATTGCATCAACACGGTGGAGGAGGGGGAAGGAGGTGGGTGGTTCATCAGTAACGAGTTGCACCTGAGACACAATGCAGAGCAGCAGCAGCACCCCCACACCACGCTGGCACAGCAGATCCCCGCCCCCCAGCAGCAGAGCTATTTCTATCTCTGCACACACAGGGCACTGCTGCTTCAGAAACGCATCGCGATCACACTCCGTCTGGCTCCTAAAATCATTGCCCACGCGCCCGGTAAAGAAAACCCAGCCACTGATTGAATGAATTAATCAAACATTGCCCCTCTCCCCAACACCCATCACTCTCCAAAACGAACGTGTCGCTATTATTCGTTGTCCAGGTGTGGAGCGTTGGGTGACGTTGACGCGTACTCCATGAACATGTCATCGTCCGACAGCATGCTCTGTAGCGGAAATAGAACACAGTCCAGTCACAATGCTCGCAAAGGGCAAGGCCATGCCATGCACGTTGCACTCTCTCGTCGCACGTAATGTTTACGTATACCTGCGGATCTGTGAAATAGCCCTCTTTTCATCGTATAATTGCATCACCGCACTCATGTGTAACGGTATTAGATTCAGTTTTCCAAGGAAATTAAACGTAATAATGATGTTCAAGGCTCCAAATACATTGCTTTACAAATTAGTTGTATGCTGTGTCTAAATGTTTGTTTTGATCACTTCCAACGTTAAAACGATATCTACAGTCAACTCTGGATTATTATCTGGGGCAATGGTGGGGAAAAGGGGTGACCCGGATGAAGCAAAATCACAGATATTGCAAAACACATGTAAATCAGGCTTAAAAATATATCGATTGCCTGCCTACACAGAATATTCTTGACAAATTCGTTGAGTTAATTTGTGACATCGAATGGGTGTGAAGACATACATATGGCGTGTTCTATATTGTTATCTTAAAGTAATCCGTTTACTTGGCGACGTGCCAGTAGTCGTGTGAGTACCGTGGCACACGTGGAGATACTATGACTCTCCAATGTGTTTTCTGGTTGTGCCGCGTGTGCATCTGATACGATGTTCAACGTTTCGCAACACGGGCTGTGAGCTTCTTTGAAAGAAACGCTTCTTGAGGGAAAAAAAATCATCCTTCAGAAGCTCCCAGCATATGGAGCGAAACGTTGGACATAGTGCCAAGCAACGCGCGGCACGACCCAGAGACACAGCAATACAACCGAGAAAATCTACTCGGTTTAAACAAATATACATTTATTGGCATGCTAGGTAAATCCGCAACCCGGATAATCCGACCGTGGGTGATCAAGATTGAACTGTACTTGTGCAATGTAAAAGCCCACCGTCAGATTGTTGATGCCCTCTGAGAAGGCTCCGATCTGGCGCACGGTGCCCTCAGAGTCCTCCATCTGCTAGGGAGCACCACAGCCACCACACACACAGCCGTGCGCACATGCAGGGATGAAAAAATCGGCACCATCCCAGGACACCGCAACATCCCACGCCAAAGACAGCAAACTGCAAAGTGAGGGTGCTGCGGTAGAGGCTTTGTCAAAACCAAATTGTGATTATTAAAGAACAGAAACATTTGTACAGTTCATGAAACCCATTTATAGGTTGCTTAAACAAACTTATGAGATGAAAATGTAATGGGGATGATCTATTCTTATGTTCTTTGCACTTTAACTATACATATTAAATATACAGGACAACACTTCTCAAACTCCGGCCCTCGTGACGCAGATTTCCATAATCCTGGAAAGGCACAGTGGGGGAAGTCATGAGAACTGCCGTTCGGGAAAGGCTGGCAGCGACGACGTTCAACGGAGTAAAACACAGGGGACAAGGGGTCGTCGTCTCAAGCTATCGTGCCGACCTGCTCCAGCCGGTCGAGGTCATCGTCGTCCTGGAAGCCGGACCGCCCGCCGCCGGCCTGCATCCGGTAACTGGAGGCGGCGGAGAAGCCTGGCTGGGAGGCCAGGCCACCGGGCCGGCAGAGCTCCATGGGGCACACGTAGTCCTCTGCGTCCTCTTGCTTCCGTCGCCTCAGAGAGCCGAATCCCGAGATCCCCAGAGGAAGCTTCTTGGGCTGGCATGGATAACAGGGCGAGACGTACAAGGTGTAGTAAACACGTGCGTTGGCGATCGCCCAGTTGCCTAAACTAGAGATGTTCTTCTTCTATACAAAGATTTTCTCCATCTGCTTCTGTTCCGTCTCTTCTCCCGTCTCATCCACTGTCCTTATATCTTCACCACATCCTCCCATCTCACCATAAGGTCCCCTACCCCTTCTGCCCCGCACCAGAATCTCCGCAGCGCTTTGAGTCGCTGATACATATAAGTGCCATATAAATACAAAACATATGATTATCTCAGCATTTTAATCTCTGTCCTTTCACACACCCTTCCTTTCTTCTTTCTTCCTTCTTGCCCATGTCTTTCGCTGTATTATATTACGTCACCAGTCTTACACCACAAGTCATCAAAGACCACCACCGTAGGAGCTGATGCATTACGATGGCATGGACAATAACGACGGCTCACCTTCACCTTGGCCGTGGTGGTGAGCGGTATGTGGTTGGGCACCTCAAGCGCCTCCTGCTTATGGCGGCGAGAGTCGGGTCCGACCAGGAGGTCGAAGTGCGTGGCCAAGTGGCGTCGTAGCAGCGTCTTGTTGGGCGGGATGTTGAGCAGCAGGGCCAGAGTCTCCACCGTGAAACGTGGCTCCAGTACCTATTGAGGCACGTGGCATGCGAAGATCCCCCGAATATCCTTGTCGACCGGCGGTAGTCAAAAACCTCCCGACACGATCAGCCACGCGCACAAATCCTCAACAGACCGAGAGCCACGAGACGCGTGACATTACGGTCCATTCTCTAGGCTCGCATGCGCCGGGTGGTTGTGGAGTTCTGAATTTCTAAATGTACGCGGAAGTATATGTGTATGTTGAACTTCTTTCGCACCGTACGTAGCCCACTGTGCTAATCGAAGGTGCGGGAGTAGCTGTGTTCATATCGCGGCATACTAACCACTATGCCGCCACTCCCACTCGGATGCTCATCGTACTGTTCTTCATCTATAGCAACTATTAATATGCTAATTGAAAAAGTGGTCATGAGGAAACATGGTTAATATTTTATTTTTATCAAGCACCAAGGTGTAAAGTGCATTCTCCAACTCTTATTCACTCTGTGTCTGTATTTATCTACATGAAGAAGTCATCGCGGTCGATGATGTTTAGGCCATAGCTTCCTACCATCTGCTATACCCAGCAAGCAGTCAACAGTCAACACCTAACTGCAAAATTTCGCTGTTACAGTCTCATCATCATCACCACCAGCTGGCTTTAGGTCTTCCGCTTATTCATATATAAGCACGTACATATCGCATATTTGTATACACGCACGTGCTAACCGCTCAAACGTTTCAAGTTTATTGTGGTCAATAGTACCTGTTAAATAATTTCTTTTCAGTGCCTCAGTCATGGACATTGATGTCCCTGAAATATCACTCTTGTTATAATTGTATTATTATGAACCAGATGAAAACTTAAGAAACCAGGATTGAAGTATTGTAAAGAGCGACATTGGTTTTGTAAAATGACAAATGCAAAACAGTGAAAAAATGTACAGCGATGAAGGAAATAGAAATCAGAGAGAGAAAAACAACAACCGTGTAATGTGAGAAGTCAAAAATATTGTCACAAAACACAAATCAATGTGAAGTAATAATTTCCCTGTAGAGTTGGTCATCTCGCGCAAATGACGCTTTCGACTCGTCGAGTAGAATTGCAAATGAAGTTATAGAAACCGTTAACAGATGTAGGGGGTGATCATTGTGCTGACGCGTAAACGGACATGGCTGTATGGGTGGAACACGCAACGGGCGCGCTGGAGCAGCGCTGGAGCAGCGCCAGCGCAGCGATGGTGCCACGCCGGCGCCGCACGAATGCCGCGCCGGCGCAGCGCTGGTGCAGAGCTAGCACCGCACTGGTGCTGCTCGGCTTACCAGCAGCCCGCCGTGCACGCCGCTGCCACGCAGGTTTGGCGCGTACTCTGCCAGGTCGGCCGAGCGGAGCCACTCCATCACACGGTGGTTCGTCCACTGCGTCACCTCGGCAGGCGTCACGTTCCCCTGCTCGCACGCACACACCCACGCGAGTAAACGACAAACATGGAGGTCCACGTGAGACTTAACAACAACAACAATAATAATTATGTATAATTCACAATTGCTGTTTTAGTAAACAAATTAATGCCAGAATTGAACAATAACCCAATGATATTGATGAAAACAACCCTCACCCGAGTTACTAATCACAAAGAGAATACTCTCATTATAATGCAGGAACATTAAAACACAAGAACCACAATGATACAATGGAGGCCATCTGCTTTGAACCCTGCCAGCTGCAGAGCTTTCCGTGGTTGTTTACCATCAGCCATTGTCAATCCACTGCTAGATGATATCCTCCTCACTCCGTCACTATCTCTCAGTCCACGTAGCATCTGCGCACGCACCGATCTAATTGCTCCGTCTCTGTGGTGGACGTTCTCTCAGACGCGTTCCCTCCATTGGCTATCACTGCGGTATTTAGATACACACACACACTCCTTACAGCCTCTATCAATTCACCGCTGGATGAAGGCTTCTCCTCTATGCCATGGCGGGCAGGACGGATGTTTGATCGTTATTCACCGCACTGTTCACGGCCAACGACGTTAGCCGTGGCCGGAAATCGAACTCGGTCACAAAGTTCATCGCGTGGTGCGGCTACCACTGTACCAACGCACAACCTGCTAAATATTACTCCAGATGAAATAACAAAAGGGCCCCTTGGGGGTTTAACCTCTGACCTCGTCGGAGGGCCGTCGGCGCAGGCAGTTGGGGTGGAACTTGTTCATGCGCAGCACCTGGATGGCGCGCTTGTAGCTCAGGTGGTGGAGCAGGCTCGTCACCTTCAGTGACAGGAGGTCGTCCTGGGTGGACGCGTGTGCGGGCAGTGGTGGAGAGGTGGGAGGGATGGGTTGCAGAGGGAGAAAATCAGCAAGCGAAAAAAAAAAATGTAACGCACGAATCGTGCCTCCGTTTAATATTTTGCGTAAAAACCCCACAATCTCAGATTTTTTACTCAGCTTTCATTCCATAGTTTATGTTGGCAAGTACATGTACAGCCCTTTTGCCAGTCCACTCTGCTGGATGACGGTCTCCGCATTCTGTGCGGACCGTGGGGGTAATTTGACCGCATGTTACCACGCTGGTCACTGCCAGCTGGTGTAACACGGGGAGCGCAGCACGAAGGAGCATATTACACGCCAAGTAATGTTGCTGCGCTGCCCTCTACTGCCCACCTTGTAGCCCCGCAGCTGCCGAGACAGCCTGGGATACTTGATGGTCGCCCACACAAGTAATATTCAGGCTTAAAACCTGCTTATCTTCGGTGAAACGTTGCCAAGTATGGTCTGTCGATATTTATTTCTTCAAACATCCAAAACTTTCATTGATACAACAACCACAGACAAAGAGCTGCACGTGGCGATTAAATACAGGAAGTGGGAGAAGCAAGCGACTATTACCTTCAGAGTCTCTGTGGCCAGGCAAGCGAGATTCGGAGAGAAAGAATGTAGAGAATAAGAAAAGTGAACAGCAACAGAGATCTGGTACATAATCGATGACCTCCAGGCTGGCCATCGTCCACGACCTTTCTAGAAATTACCTGTTTGTATAAACCTCTCCAAGTTCAAGGGGGCTGAGACTGTCTGTCAAACGAAGAAGTTGCTGATGTATAATCAAGCACACAGTGGCATTTAAGCTATCCATAATATGGAACGGCTAAACGTCACCTTTCGTCGTAGGTTAAGAACAAAAATAAAAGATTTAGAGTAAAGAAAAGAAAAGGAGATCCCAGCAACGACGAGAAATATTCGTGAAAAAGTTTCAATTCCGACTTGAGAGTTGGTTAGCCGGAGCAAACTTCTCGGATTCCTTTATCAAAAAAGTGTACACAATCACAGTCAGTCTAGTAAACATTAATACACAATGCCTTTATTATCTACGGCTTTTTAGATTACTCCCAAATGGTTTTAGCCAACACAGTCTTGTAGGTGCACAGCCATTGAAGGTCGAACGCAGGCGTGCGTGGTCCCCGCTGTCTGCACGGACCCCTTACCACCGTCAGGTAGTGCAGCATGCGCCCGTCCACTCGCCCCTCGTTAAACTGGTCCTTGTACTGTGGCAAGCCGATGTCATCCAGCCACCCTGCAGGGGCACGGAGACATCAAACAAAGATCCCCCCTCGCCGAGCTATTCACAGAGTCGGGGCTCGTGCTGTTCGCGAGCAACGGACTGCGTATTATTGTTCAGCACAATGCCCAATGTTTCACTTCATGTGTTGGGACATTCTGCAGGAATTTAACTGAAGCAGCTCCCAGCACGTGCAGCGAAACGACAGCTACCGCGCCGAACAGCAAGCGGCATGATCCGAAAATCCATCGGAGAGCTGTACAGGGCAACCGTGAAAACCTGTGCAGTCATACCGATTAAAGCCATCAAGGCTCACGAAGGGGGCGTGGCCAATACCATGCCCAGCCACCTTTGTCTCCCCAGTTATTATGTTCACACAACGCACCAGGTACTTACTTAAGGCCGAGTCGACCCAGGCGAATCGCAACACCGGTACAGATAATGGTCACAGATGTTGGTCGTGGCTGGGAATCGAACTCTCGCTATGCCCACTGCTGCACAACATAAACAGCAGCCGCTCCATCGCTACCACGGAAAAAAAAACCTCTGCACTGCTGCCACCCAGTGGGGAGCGCAAGCGTCGCCATGAATCAACCTGACACGAGGCTGTCGCAACGAGGGTGCGCTTCTTGCGGTGCGGTCCAATCATTGCCAAGGTGCCCTCTCCTGGACAGCTGAGAAATATTCCAGATGGCAGCAATGTCCCCCAGATGATGGAAAGCAGGAGCCACACCGGGGCGTGTAAAATGTTCCTGTTTGAGTAGTTGGAAGAATCCATAGTTTATCCCAGGCAAGTGCCCTTCTTCAAAATAGCTTAACCCAGGCACTGTCCCCTCTGGAATAGGTATAAATTACTGTGCAGTTAATAGTAAATTACCAAGCGACAAAGCCACTTTGTCATCGGCGTGATGGGGTCTGCATGTAAATTGCGAGAACACGTGGTGCGTAGTGGAATAGTCTGTTCTCCTAGAAGGCTTTGTGTTTTCATGTTGGATATACCGCGATGAATGTATTAGGGAACACATTTTTCTAATAACTCGAATGCGAATTGGATATAATGTGACTGAGTGAACGCAACTACGTCGCGCGAGTAGGAATAAGCGGTCGTACGGCTGCCTCGGCGTAGCATCACACAAAGCGGGATGCTGCTGGATGCTTCTACATGCTACCCACGACTCTTTGTTCACCCCCTTAATATGCCTCTCATGTGTTATCACGGACTGTGCTTTACCTTATATTACATATTATTTATGATGCGATTTTTCTATATTGCGGTCCTCTTCAGGAACGCAACGACTACCGCGTTATAGGAGAACGGACTTTTCGAGCAGCAGGCCGCAGCAAAAACAACGCAAACGTTGCCCAGTCTCCGCCACGTCCCTCAAGCGCTGGCTGCCCCCCTCAAAGGGCTCTGTTCCTGCTCGTGCCGACGGGCGGGCGACTCACGCGTGACCCAGTTGTAGTCGAGTTCGCCCTTGGAGTTCTCCTCCTCCGAGCCCATTGCCTGCAGGGCCAGCTGCAGCTTCTTCTTGTGCAACGAGTGCTTGATGCCCAGCTCCTGCAGAACGGACACTAGCTGTGACGACAACTGGGCTGCACAGATGACCATTTATGTGCACTCGAATACCACCTTGGCACATCTCAGCTGAGCATATTGTCATTCCAATTTGATTCTGTCAAAGTTCGAGTTTAAATGTCGACCCACATGAGAACTCAAAGAGAACAGGATAGTTTAATTTGCACGAGTGACCCGAGTCACCGAAGTGACGCAAGATAAAGCGAATAAAGTACAGCAATGAAGCGAATAGAAAGCAGCGCAAAAACTGCGTCACGTGAGAAATCGAAAATATTGCACAAACACAAAATCAATGTCGAGCAACACATTCCCTGTAGTGTAAAATCAGCTCGGGCAGACTATTTTTAGACCATAATACAATTACAATAAAGTCCCGACAATTACAATTCGGTTACGCCGCTGACAGATCGCCTACGGCGCCACGTGCGACTCTTGACGCGCGAGTCGGCGGGCACGCTCACCTTGTCCAGGTCGTGTGCGGTGGCGCGGAGCATGGTCTGCCCGGAGGTGACCCACTGGCGCGCCATGCCCACGTACATGCCCAGGCCCTGCTCGTGAAGCCAGTTGCACACCTGGTCCGTCGACCACTTGGCAAATGGCGCATCCAGGTCGCTGGCAACGAAAACGAAACGGCCGCCGGTGAGCGAGCGCGTGCCATGGTGGCGAAATGTTAACTAAGTCGTCGCCTGGTATACAGGTGTTCATAGGTTCGATCTCGACTCTGACGCCCGTATATTTCTGGAGTTGGCATGTTCTCCACGTGGTCATATGGATTCTTGTCTGGGTCCTCTGGTGTTTTTGTCCAGACCTAGAAACATGCTTTTAGAGTATTTGGCTGCTAGAAAGTTCTACATGATAAGCCACTTTGTTGAGCTATAATTTGTGGCCAGGTTGCTTCTGAAGAAGACCTATATAGCTCAGTGGACCTTACCTGGTAAAATAAAAAATAGTTTCGTTTACTTTTTTTGAGGGCTGCACCTCGCGTGAAGAAATCCCACAAGAGCGTCGCTTGTGATGGAGGCCACGGCTAAGCGGAGACAACAAAGGAGCGCTTCCATTTCAGTTGTATCTCATTCCCCCGACGCTAACATGGCTGAAAGGTAAGAGTTCTTTGTGTTTTTGGGTTGCTTCCGTAAAGATTAAATTGTTTCTATGCATGTTGAACTCCTTTCGCACCGTACGTAGCCAACCGCACTAATCGGAGTGGCGTATTGCCTCTCCATGTGAAATCTGCACAATGCACAAAGGTGCAATAGTTGACTTGTTGTCGGCTTCATTTTAATTGCTTACAAAGCTGCAGACCCTGCCCCCGCATAGCCTTATACAAATAATTCCCTTTAAGAGGTGGCCGCCAGGTGGCTTAAGAGGTCAAAGCGTTGAATCCAGGCAGCTGCCTCGAACTAAAATCGGTTGTTGACTGGAGTTGATGGTCACAGCCCAGCCACGAATGACTGCACAAATAAAACCCATAACTTAAAATGTTGTTCTGAAATGAATTCGGATACATTCCAGCTCTGAGAATTAAAATTCGATTGACAGTCATGTGACGGACACTACTCTTATGGTCTCTGTGCAGGCTAGAGGTCACTTGAAGGGATCTCAGAGGAAGCTCTGTGATGTCCGCTTCCGTGGGCTGTAACTATAACGATGGGATATTCTGCTCTGCGAGAGAACCGTAAGGATTCTTCTATCTCGTGGCATGAAGCAGATCGCACAAATCTGGATTAAACTGTGGGAAAAATCGTCCGCGCCAAGACGCTTCACCTGGAGCCCCCACGGAGGTCACGTGACCAGCCGAGCCGTGGGTCGGCCGTGGCTCTCAGCCCCCCTCTTCGGAACTCCTCCTCGCGCTCCTCCTCGGGGTTTAAGTTCGTCGACTGGCTCCTCTTCAGCCTTTCGCGAGCAGGTGGCGAGCAAATGGCAAGGATGGATGGGGAGCAAGGGGGAGGGTGAGAGTGTTTAAAGGGAGGAGGTGGGGGGCAGGGCGGGTGGTAAGAGAGGCAGGGATCAAGTTTTAACCGCAACATGTGGCAGGAAGATTAAAGGGAGTGATTAGAGTGAAACGTGTTTCCAATACGAATCCACTTTAGGATTTGCACGTTTTCACCTGATGCGTATGCACGTGTAGTGCGCCCAACCTCCTGTGATGTGCCGAACGTGCAGCATGGACAGACCATGGCCGGTACTACTACCGATCATGTTGACGATAACTGCATTGCGAATCTTCTGACCGCGCCCTCGGGCGTGCTCTTTAACCACTGTAGTGGCTCGGGCACGCACAACGAGGAAGTGACTGAGTGGGCATTTTAACGGATGGAAGATTCTGTTCTGTTACTGCACAAAAGATCGGAAAAAATAATCGGCTGATATCTTGTAACGACCGCAAAGTATTGACCTCGTGAGCAAAAACAACTCCCCACTCACATTCCGAAGATTTTTTTGATTCCACGCGACTTCTTCCGAGTCTCGGGCGAGAGCGGAGCGCTGGGAGGCGAGGCGAGCTCCGAGGGACTGAGCCGGCCACTTGAGTCCTTGTCCACTTCTGTTCCGCACACGCATACAGCGTCCGTCCGCTCATTCATTAGCAGGCAGCATCAGGCAAGGGTAGCTCAGCGGCTTCCGTAATAGCTTTTAAAGCCCTTATTTTAAAGCACGTCAAATCCCACTCGGCTGTTTCTAGATGTGAAGACAGTTCGATGATTAAGCTACTACTACGGATGGGGCCAGAACTAATAACACGGTTCATCGTTTCAAGCTTAGATCTGTCAGGTTGTAAATTATGGATAAGTAGGATTTAGCGAATTGAAAATTTGGCATGAGTTGGAGCAAAACCAATTGCCTTAAACCAATTTGAATACCTTCTGAAAATGATGAGAAATCCATAAGACAGATTCACGCAAAAGGCGATCGCTAGACAGCAAAATGAGCAATGTAATTATATGCTCATGTTCCCATAATGCCTTTGCTTGTTACGCGACATGACCCCACTGCTCGTCGAACGCACAGAGCCTTGTTTGGATCACCAATCCAAGAGTAAGAATTATGGCCACGTTATTTTAGACGACGGCAGGACAAATGAGACAACCGTAGACCGGTTTCATCCTTGTTCGGAAACATCGGTACAGTGTGGCCATCATTGCCTACTGCCGTCTTGTGCCTCGGTGCCTCGTAGGCTTTGTGCAGACGGGCCCTCTTCGTGGTCACCAGGGGGACAGTTTTGGCACTGGCCATGTACGACAACAATAAACCAACAAACACCCTGTGTGTAAGCGATGAGAGACAATCGAGTTACTCCAGCCAGGCTTCACAGTAAATCTTTGCGAGGGGGCCATGCACAAACACAGAGACGCTCTCTTGCTCCACGTTCCATCAGGTGACCCGCGCAGGTGGCGTGCACGAGCGACGTACCCAGGTTGGGCGCGCTGGCCGTGCGCTTGCCTCCCTTCACCTTGAAGAACCCACGCCCAAATGAGGCCCTGGGTTTGCGAGCCGCCCCCCCGCTAGCCCCCTCGTCGGCAAGGTGCCGCTCCAGCGCGGGGGAGCTGGGGGAGCTGGGGGAGCTGGGGGGCAGGGTCTGCAGGCGGGACCCTCCTTCCTCCTCCTGCAACGCTTTGTTCTGTGGGTGAGCGAGTGGGAATCGCACCGAACGTCAATGATTTCTGCCGAAGAAGGTGTGTGAGCGCTCGGCGCTGGAAGCGAAAGGGGAGTGCCAGTGGCAGGCAGCGGACACGAGAGGAAGCACAGCGGCGAGTTATAGCGTAGCTTTTCGTGGTTGTGCTGCCGTTTAGAGCATTTGGCTGCTATCAATTTCCACATGATAAGCTACTTCGTTGAGCTTCTAAATAAGAGCTATTTCGCTCAGTGGGCCTTACCTGGTAAAATAAAAATAGTTTATAGTTTATTTTATGTGGCTCTCCGATGTGTTTTTCAGTTGCACTGCGTGTTGTTGGGCTCGATGTGCGATCCTCTTCACAAACGATTCCTGAACAACCACCACTAAACAACAGTTCCTGAAGAAGCTCCCAGCAAGTGGAGCAAACATTCGGAGATCGTGCCGAACACCACGCGGGAGCATCATGCTGCAGTGAGAGCGTGCTGGTTTGTGTGGCAAAATAAACCCACGTAGAAGCCTTCGGTATCCGGGAAATGTGAGAGAGCGATGTCTCTTCGTGTGCGCAGGCTTTGAACAAAATTTTATCCCTCTGCGCCAATCATTTCAACATTGTTGGCAAGAACCGGCAAGGACATGAACTCGTGACTGTTATTAACGCATGCGCTCACACGCTGTTAATTTAACGGCACAATCGGTGCTTTTCTACGAGTGAAAAAAGCCCCACTTTAGAAACGAAGCTCAGCCACAAACGCACGGTAAGCGAGTTTGCCTTGAAACTTTCCACACGGTTTGTTTTCAGCGATTCTGGCACACCGACACAAACAGCAGTGGCCTCGCAAACACGGGCCCGGCGCTCCCCCAATGGTGGGCAGCAGCATGAAGAAGCACCGAATTTGAGGCTCACAAAGGGTTAAAAACAATCCACCAAGCAAAACACAACCATTTGAAGCCGCGTTTCCTCATTAAATCAAGAGAAGCGCCAAGTCGGCTGTTAAGGTAAAATTAAACAATGCTCACAAAAAATCTGGCCAATTAAATCTCATCACTAATTTTGGTGAACATTGTTTGTTTTAAATCTGAGAAGCACAAGGCAGAACCTGTTAGAAGCGCATCACTGGGCAGACATAAGACATCTACGAAGTGAATTGACCAGTCAAACAGCAGACTTGTGTGTGCCTCTAACCTGTATTATCACTTCAAGGCGCTGGGCCAGCTACAGGTGAAGAAATCACACACAGACCGCCCACACACAAAGGCAACGGTGAATTCAGGGATCGTGTAGCAGAGGCGTGTGAGCCAACGGCACAGCGGAAAAGTGCGTGAAACGTTAAATAACGGTGAATTACGTGACAACACAAAACATACGCGGCTTTGGTTAGCGCCGTAAGTTAAGGAACACAAATGAAGGGGCAGCTGTGGTAGAAAGACGTGGAGAAGAGAAGGCATACACATGCAAAAGATGCCCTATCTGCGTACACAACGATTAGTGCGCGTTAATATCACGACTGGCGGTAAGGTGGCTCAGCGGGAGAGCGAGCGGCTCGCAATCGCAAGGTTGCAGGCATAAATCCTGGTAAGCGAGGGGGGGTTGACTCAACCTATCATTCTGAAAGTGTCGATAAATCGAGTACCACTTTGTGGGTTAGTCAACAGTGGTTGTCCTATGGATATAGTCGCCTTTGCCATAGGACTGGGATTTCCGTGATCGCCCATGCCATAGGACTGTGGAATTTCCACCACCTGCTCTGCCGGGGGTTGTAAACAAGGAGATGAGTGGCAATGCCACAATGTCCAATTGAGCAGCAGGGAATATCTTTCACTTTTTTATTTTACTCCACGCAAGCAGCACTCGGCACGTTCCAGGAAGGGGACAAGAGCAGGAGAGTTCAGTGCTCGGCGGGGGGGCTCTTCGGGTAATGCGGGGCAGGCGAACAGAGCTGGAGGAGGGAGGGAGGGCTACGCTCGCACTACCTCGGCAGGCTCGCGTCCCTTCCGCTCCCACACCACACTCTGTGGGAGGGGGACGACAGCCGAGAGGCATTCCGGCAAGTGAGACGGAAAAAAACTGAAACCACACTAACACACGTGCGAAACATTAAGACGCGCGGCACAGTACGATCCTTGTTTGGAAACTTTTCAAGGCCTCTCCTGGCCCCTGGCACGCACGGCCAAACACAGCGACCGACAGTCAACTTTGCGAGACGCCCTTCCCCCCTCGCAGTTCTTTACCGAACTGAACTTCGCTTACTCCGATTGCAGCCATGGTAATTTTGCACAAATCCTCCAGTGCAGATTAATATTTTAAACTTGTGGTTGGCTTGCAAATCAAAATGATAACGTATTTTTACTCGTTTGAGTTCATTACTTGTCTACATTCACCATCAACATCAGTCACGACCGATTCACCGCTACGCGGCTGCAAATTAACGGCGTGCCGGCGCAGTGACGTATGCAGCGGTATACGTTACGATTCTTACCACATCACAGTGAATGACGTTGCGTGATTGAAGTTGCTTTTAGCCATGAACATCAACCCAACCGTGATCACGTGACCTTATCTATGCAATTAAAAAAAACATGCTTCTACATTGAGGAGCGACAGCGTTCCACTACAGCAGCCGATTGGCTGGGTCTGGGCTGCACGGCCCCCCACGCTGACCCTTTTTGCCCCCAGCTGACTAAACTTCAGGAACCAAAGGCTGGAGCACGTGCTTCCTGCACTTGACGCAATCGGACTTTAGCTGCCAAATAGTGTAGCTCACCGCACACAAGTGTACATACTAACACACACACATACAGGCCACGGGCCAAAACACACGCAGCTATAACAGCAGCCCACTGTGTCCCCATGGGAGAGAGGGACAGGGAAAATCTCCCCCATGCCAGATTGCTGTTTACACTAGCCACCTACTGCATTTAAACCCACAGCACTCACTGGAAATGTCCCATTTGTGGTGGGTACGCCGTGAATTGATTTCGCTCACCCTCTGCTGCATTCCGATTTCATTTTGTTTATAATCTCTCCAAATCAGAAAGTCGAACGGCAGATGTGGCTATCCTCCTCCAGTAGAAGAGAATAGCTCACAGTATGTCACCAAGCTCAAACGGCGAATAACTTTTACACCTCCAAGAGTGCCACTTATCGATAGCCAGTTGGCACTTTGGGCATTTGTGCCTGTGCTCAGAAATAGTGACGCCACTGCCCGCTTCGCTCATTCGCCACTTGCAGTATTTCAGATGTTCACCACGAAAACCGTGCACAGGCTGAGCCACCAATCACGACATGAACTTATCCCGCACGTCGCTGATAAACTCGCCAACATGGCAAGGATACAGCAAAAAAAATCCCGCAGGAAATGCACGCGTACCTTCTCTGCGACGTCTTGCTGGGCGTGCTCAGGGCTGCTGGCGGACTGCCAGTCACGTGACCTGTCACCCGGGGTCATGGAGAACACGGCCACACGCGAATTGAAAGGAAGTTGCTTTTGTATGCTTATGTTGCCTTGCTTTGTACACACGCAGTAAAGAGAGCGAGGCAGGGTCGCGGACAGATCTGGAATGCGAACGCAGGCTTCAAATGCGACGCCGATCAAAAGGATAATCTTGACTTGAAGGTCAGCAGAACCCAAAAAGTATTAATCAATAATAGCAGGAAACTCTGATGTCGGATATTCAAAGGCTTGTAATGGTCAAAGGTGCATTATGTAAAATTATTAGAAAGAACGGGGTATAAAATAGCAGTTTGGAAAATGAAACATGTTTAATTAAGGGTGTGAACATAAAATATCTGGGTTTTAACTTCATGTGGCTTTAAAAGGCTTTAGGTTTAATGCGGCCACTGCAAATCACCTGGACGCTGGCTGCGGTGCCATCTCCTGCACAGCCTCATCACTGTCTTCTCCCTTCTGTGTGTCTCTGATCGTAAAAGAAATAGCGGCGTTAAAAAACTAAAGAAAGCCACTCGCGCAGACCCACCCATGACCGTTCATCATAACCCCAAAGTGAACCCATACCAGCCAACAGGGGTGCATTGCCACTGTCCGGCACGGGGAGTGTTAACCCATGCCATCACAGCACGGGGGTTTAAACACTTGGACACCGGGTCCCGTGTTGCTTGTTCGCCAGAATGTGATCAATCTTTGAGATGTTAAAGCCCGCCGTTACATTTTGTCGATTTTCTCTTTTCACTTAAAAAGGGCACAAAACACCGCGGTGAGACACATGCTTGGAAATGCAACGACAGCCAGGAAGAGGAACACGTGGGTTAGAGAGCAAACGTCAGGTAAGTGACATCGTTCCATTTGTTAGGAAATGTATGTGGGCTGGGGCAGGACGTGTCACGGCTACAAGGCATGACGACAGACATATACGGTCAAGCACCATGAAGGAGTGGGAGCCAAGAAATGGAACCGTGTCCTAGACTACGTCTGCCAAGGAGATGGAGTGATGAAAGCAGCTCATGAAGCAGGTGCTGGCTGGATTGCTCTATCGAGGGATCATGTGAAATGGCGGCGGATTGGTGAGGCCTTCATTCAGCAGTGGAATAACCATGGCCAATGCTGATTAGATTTTGTTAATCTCACCCGTTTTCAGTGGGATAATCCACTGTCTCTACATCATCGGCTTTGATCTGCAGTGGTTGCTCTGGCTCTGTGTCAGCAGACGGGGCGGCATCTTTCTGAACACCAAAACTCTCCTGCACAACAAAAAAAACCACACCTGCTTAACATGTACAATTTCGACTTATATAGCGTCTAAATACAAATGCACGTCAAGGCACTGACACTTTTGCTCAATTGTTTATTTTTCAATAAGAATGCTAATAAGTTCCCAAGTACACGAACGGCCCTTTTCATCAATGCCCAAATTAAAGTGATAACATTAATTACAGCGGCGCGCGCAGCGAGAGAGATTCCATCGCGGGGGAAACGAGACGCACGCTCACCTCGCCAAGGAATTCCTCGGCGTCCATGTTCATCATCTCTGCGCTCAGGTTATCGTCGCTCGAACTGCCCGGTAGTCGCTCAGAAGACCCTGCCCAAGACACACAAAAGACGGCATTTCCATACGATAAGAACGTCAGGGATTTGCTTTCTTATGCACCATCTTGTCCGAATGAAAAGACAGCCACAACATCGTGCGCTTTAGGATGCGTTTCTGCTGCTGTCTGGAACACTCTTCCTCCTGATATTAGGAAGCCACTGGAGCTATGCACTTTAACACATCTAGATTGCAAACCAATTACTTTAAAACTGCTTTTTGTGTTTAGTTTGTTGTCCTTCCCCCGCACCTCCGATTAGCACGATTGGCTACGTATGGTGCGAAAGAAGTTCAACACACATACATACACGTGTACAAAGAATCAGAGCGAGGTGCACACTTGGTATTACACATTGAGAGACACAAAAAGGAACACAAATCAAGGAAGGAGCACGAATCAGAGGCATCATAATGATAATCGGGAAAAGTAGGTGAGCTCAGGGAGGACGAGTCACTGGCCAGGATGATGGCCGACGGACGAGACTGGTGACAGAATGGCAGAGAGAGGAGGAAACGCGTCAAAGAAGAGGAGCACCACGAAGATAGAGCAGTGAGATTGGTTCCCATGTGGGAGACGGATGGTGACAGCACTGGACCATGAGGGATGGTGACGGGGAGGCCTTCATCCAGCAGTGGACTGATCGTAGCTGGTGATGATGACTTCATATTTCACGCAATAAGAATCAGACCACATGTATTTTACATCCAAAGGATGTATCGACTCTCACTTATTTTGCTTATTCATTTATATAATTTTTAAATGAAAATGTATTTCAGTGCAATGCCATCAAGACAAGCGAGTGGCTCAGAGACATGCTGGAGATTTACATTTTAATATTAACGGTGATTTCACTAGATGGAAAGTCACTGCATCCAAGAAATTCGGAGAGTTTTAGCAAAGTGTTCAGTTTTATAGAATTGATTTACGTACAAAGACAGGACAAGCATAACATAATTTAAGAATAATAAAAGCAGAAAAGGATAGACAAACCAATGTATAACACCGCTCACTCTGGTAATTATGAGAAACTAATTAAGACTGAGCAATGCACCTTAATTAAATCAGACCAATGCAGCTCATGAAGATAATAAGTTTAAGGCAAGTGACTTACATTGTATAAAATACAATAATTGCCTTCGGAAGGTAATTAACCAAAAAGTAATGAGGGCAAAGTTTTAAAATACTTTTCCACAAATAACGATATCACTACTTTATAACGTTATCCAGAGGAGGCAATTAAAAAGTAGTTACGAATCTTAAAAAAACAATGGGATAAAGCCCTCATGAAGGCAGTGAGAAGAAGGCGGTGAGAAGAAGGCAGCGAGAGGCAGGAGACCACCCACCTTTCTTACCCTTGGCGGCCAGCACCATCTCCTGCACCTTCCTGTAGCGCGTCAGGGACTGCCGCAGATCGTCTATCATGTGGTCCTGAAATTGCATACGAGAGGGGGCGGGGAGTACGAAGTCACATGGGTGAGGACACGCTCGTGTCCGTCGCGACAGGTGAACACCACTGCCAGCGCAAAAGGGCTTCATCTGCACACACGTACAGCCCTTTTGTCTGTCCACTGCTGGATAAGGGCCTCCCCACGCGGTGCGGGTCAGGGGGGTTATTTGACGACGCTTCACCCGGCTGCGGGTCGGTGAAGGCAGGGAGCATAGATGATAGTACAGTACAAAAATGGCTTTCACTAAACTGCCCTCTGCTACCTACAACAGACTCCAGCAGCAACCCACAACACCTGTTACATAGAAGCACGAACTAGGCCTAACCCTGCTAACGAGACAGGGTGCACCTGCGAGCTGATTTGGTCAAAGGAGGCCTTACTTGATTTCCTCTTAAATCAATCTAAGGCCATAAATTAGCCAGCAGACAAAACCTCTTAATATTGACATAAAAAGTAATCACAGGTTGTTCGTCTCGTTGCTTTACTTTACAAGTCACTCCTAACCTGAACCCTGCGCTACTTTAGTTGATTGGTGAATGTTGCAGTTCCAAGCTGAAGCTTAGCATTAGGCTGGAGTGAGTTTCTTTGGCATCGTGCAGTCAAACACAATTTGTCTGCACCTCGTATGAAAGTGACCACAGATTCAGCTAACGATGCATCTGGCGTGAGACGAACCTTGTCCTCATTGGCAGCCATCAGTGACTCCATCGCCACCTTTAGCCGGTGTATTTCTTGATCTGTAAAGCCCAAAGAACGAAAAAGCATGAATGTTAATTTTACAGACCAATAGCTCACACATGACACTGAGCCAGAGTAGGCATACATTACAATACCACAGGGAAATTAAACGTGTTCTCATCTCTCATAGTCTGCATGCATCACGGCTCACGAGTAAGTTGAAATCGGGTAATGTCGACGCAAATGCGACACAAAGGCCTGCGTTCCAATCAGTAGGTGCCCCTGAGTGGTGCATGTATTAATAAATAACACACTCACAAGTGTTCGAGATACCCATACATTTTGCTCGCCTCCACTCTACAACTTTCGTACACTGTGAAAGTGAGATAAAACCGGGGGTGGTCCACGATGGACGCTGCCACGAGCGAAGCGAATTGTGATGTCGCGAGAACAACAGTTTGGCAGAAGCACAAATCCGTACGAGTCAGGGCACTGCACCGCAGGCAAAGCAAACACAATCCCCGGATCGACAGCAGCACATCCGGCGCTTTGCACTCGGTGGAAACGCTCAGCGGACCGAGGCGTCCTGCTCACAGCGGCCAGCACTGATGGAAGTGCGTGTGCACAAACTGTTATTGAGACAACGCAACGACGGGTAGAACCGTGCGGTGAGAGCACAAGGGTGCACGTGCAGGGGTCCTGCAAAGCAAGGTTAATGTTTGATTGCAGGCAAAATGGTGAGATGGGGGGGGGGGCGGTGGTGGGTTCGAAAGCAGGAAACCTGCGGAAAAACGAGATGGGATTATTTAAAGCCCACAAGCTCGGAGACGCTGCTACGCATCTGTCAGCGCGGACACGTAGAGGCCAAAATGGATGCGGGAGAAGCTGTGGAGGTGGAGCAGCACTGAAGATGTTTACGAGACGCAAGCCCCGCGATGTTATTGGTGCAGCTGTTGTTAAAAAAGCATGGACTGGAGAACATATGCTTGCATACGCACACACCATGCAGGACTGACGTTAGAAATGCGTTTCAGAACTCCTTTCGTCAAACATCATTCAACACCAAACATTCTTACGGAGCGTGCCAAATGTTGAGCATTGAAAAAAATTTAATGAGCGCGTGGTTTACGAAAGACAAGTCGTGGAAATAGAATTCAAGAACATATAGGTGAACTGTTCACGCGATCCGGAGGGAGTGAACGTAGAGCAAAGCCAGCTTACGTCTGTCTCTCAGCATCCGTTTTAATTCCTCCTCTGCCCGCGAGCAACGAGGAAAATAACAAGGCAACATTAATGAAACAGCCACAACACCAAGCCGCATGCCCCAGAAAACCCCAACAACATCATCAAAGCCAACCTCCGGAGCAGAGTAGATTACCTCTTAATAATAAAACACATGGAAAATCCAGTATCAGTCATCGCACACTGCTCAAAAGTTATTTGGTGATGCAGCAAATCTGTCGTGTTTTTTAAATTCTTAATTTCACAGATCAATACGGATTCCTACGGGCGCTGACAAGCTAAGGTGGAAGCCACCAGGATATTTAAATAAAAGCGCATTATAGGAGGCCTCAAATATTGAATTTCTTTACCTGATCCGATCAACACATTTTCATTACTATCGCTGTTACTTTACTCGTAAAACACCAAGATGTTGGGTGAAACATTGCCTGTGTGAAGGGGGCGGTAAGTGGTGAGAATTGTTCTTTGCTGCATCCAAACACGGCGCGTGTAGAATGGCAAGCGGGGTCACAATTCGATTCAATCATCGACCCTTCTTTTAACACTGTAGTGAATTATTACCACGACCCTCATTTATCCAGGATAGCCTCACCCAGTTTCATGACTCTTTATCAGGAGGGTCCTGTCGCGTTTTTGCAGTAGAGCGACGATGATTGCAACGTCCGTTCCAAATGAGTCATTTTACAGACAAGGTATACGAATTGAATGAAAACGACGATTCTTCAGACGCGCTTCGATGCGTGAATCGTGAGCTCAGAATTTCAACACCGAGCTGAAGAATCGACGTGTCTCTGCACCCCTAGCAGCAAATGCACCAGCAGCAACCACCTCCTCCCTTGGTTATAAGCAAAGCGGCCACTTCATGCGTAACACCAGACAGAGACAGCGCATCCTGAAGCCACCATCACCACCCAGGCCGTGCAAGTCACGATGACGTTGCAAAACCATCTACTGCAGCGCTGTAACGTGTCCTTTCAAGGTTTTATTTTTAATCAGACCAGTCTGACAGTTAAATAAACCTATAAATATCTTATTTTGAAAAGTCAATTACCCAAAACAAGCATGTACTTTTTACCGTAATAACACAAATGGCACTCTAAAACATACATTAAAAAGCGGTATAATTTACATTTGCGTTGCATCTAACTGCTCGGCACGTAATGACTTGCCACCCTTACAATTTGATGAACGGCCGTGATCTGGGATTTGTAATTATTTACATTGTGGTTAATGTTACACCTCCAGTGGCTGCAGAGGTTGCATACACCGATTATAAACAACATATACCAATCAAAGCCTAGGACTAAATCACCTGGAATGCACCCAATCTCATCTCGGAAGCTAAGAGGGTTGAGCCTGGAGAGTGCTTGCATTGGTGGCCACCATGCGTGACAGGTGTTACAGGCAGTACGCTACACTGTGGCAGCAGAGGGCAGTGAAGAAGATTTCCGTTGTTTTACCTAACTTCTTCTACGCTTCCACATTTATGCTCGTGCCTTCACCAACCTGGCCTGGCTAGCGAGCGTGGAGAACGATGGCCAAACGACCTCCATGAGTGACAAGGTGTGGGGTGACTTTCTGTAATGGTAGTGGACAAACGGACTGTACAACTACACACAAATATAATGGGCTGTACATGTACACACGAATCGAAAATAATAAACTCCGCATTGCCATAGTCTTCGTGTTCTAAGAGATGCGCAATAACAAATTAAGTTACATCATGGGACCTCTTGCCAGTGGCAATAAAACAGGAGGTGTTAAGATGTTAAAACACCAAACAGAAACCTTTTGAAAGGAATCTGGTGTTGACCAATCGGTTTCCAAGTAAATGAATATATTACTCGAGCATGTTTATTATTTGCATGTCCTCCACAAGTAGATGTGGCTAATGCAAGCATGACTACTTGCAAAAGGTGTCCGTTTGGTGTTTTAACATTTTAACACCTGTTTTATTGCCAGAAAGGGTAAAACCTATTCTTATAATAAATGAAGTTATTATCATCATTATTAAACATTTCATCCGTATTCTATGACATCGCCACAAGCCTGGCGAACGCGACGGGAGTAACCGCAAGCGTGTGCGGTTTATCGGGTGCGGTTCAGCGGGCACGGTGGCGGTGCGTGGCGGCAGCACCTTTCTCAACGGTCTCGGCCTGCTCCGTCATCTGGTTGACGAGCTGGTCCTTGAGTCCCTCCACCTCCACCTCACGCTGCATCAGCAGTTCCTGCAGCTCGTCCAGCTCCACCTGCGGAGGGGGGGGGGTCCCGACAGCGCGCACGGCGCTCAGTGCCAGCCACACGAGGCGCCACCACCCTTTGCCTTCTACGAGCGCAGGGGTGGGGAAACCTCCAAGCCGCGGGCCAGACACGGCCCGCGACTTCATTTCATAGGGCCCAGAGCAAAACGACGGCCTACTAGTTTGAAACAGACAGCAACTTGTATTTGTCAAAAGCTGCAAGTATCTTAGCCACACTAATGGAGTACTAGAAGGGGGGATGTTTTTGACATGGTATTTATAATTTTAGAATGCTGTGTCAACTGCAAAAGTGAACCATAGGCATATTTCATGTTATTTTTTTTGGAAAATGCCTTACACGTGTTAATGTGTTTCCCGACAAAAGTTTCGGGAAGTCCTATTTGGCCCTTGGTAAAGGGAGAGGTTCCCCACCCTTGTACAAGTGGCTATAAACACAACGATGATTTATAAATAACATAGAAAATGCAATAGAGCCTCGCAATCCTGCCGGACATGTGGCCAATACGAGATAAAAATACATCGATGAGAACTCAACTTGAGATGAAAACATTTTCTTGTCAAGTCTCTCAACAGACGTATAAAAAAAACACATGTATCACACACAAGGGGGCATGCACACGACACGCATCAACGAAGTGATGCACACAGATGCACAAAGACGCACAGGGAACTCTGAGCGACAAACCTTGGCTTGCAAGCACTCTCGCTCCCAATGCTGTCGCTCGTATTGTACCTGTCCGATTTTCAGTTTCATGCTGGCCAGCTTGGCCATGGCAGACTGGCAGTGAGCACATGGCAGAGAGGCGCACGCAGAGGGACAGAAAGCAGGGGCACAGAACTCAGACAGAAGGATAAAAAAAAAACACCTTGCAAGATTGCGCAGTGGAATGAAAATTAGGAAGGGAACATAGGAACTCAGGAGAAGAATTAGAGAAATGTTTTAAGCCCAGCTTGAAAGTGTCACACAAGAAGACCGTTGTTGCTCCACACCAATCAGCGTACACAAAGGAGAACCGGGGAAAGGGCGTTGCTCGCTGGAACACAAATAGAAGCGGATGGCTGTAACGCGAGCGTCTCATTGTCCTTGTGAGCTCTGACCCACACACAGGGGTCACGCAAAGGCCAGTGGCTTCCCTCACCTTGGTGTTCTTCAGTTTCTTTTCAAAGTGAACCTTCTCCCCCTCCAGCTCCACCACCCTTCTCCGCAGCTCGGCTATCTCGTGCATAAAATCCTGGCGAGAGCACGAGGTGTTACTGTTTAGTCTTGATTGTCAATGGATGTATTTATCGGTGTTGCCGATCAATAAATCAGTGTTTTTTACACACGCACGCTGGTTCCCCACCCGCTGGTAGTGAGTGAACACGTGACCACAAACATGTCGGCAAGTAAACCGGTTACTTGTATTTAATTGGCAGTACAGAAGCCGACAGGTCGCAAAACTCATTTAAAAATAATAACTTTTGCTCTGGTTTGTGTCTCCAAGTTTCGGGTGACACTGTGATTGGTGTGGCCAGTTTTCAAAAGTGTAAATCCTAAATAGCAACACAACTTTACACAAAAGTTTCAATCGTATTGGTTCATCTTTATGCACCCCTCTCGGAAAGGACACAAAGAAAAGCTAATGCAGAAACGTTTTCATGTATTAGTCGGAAAGCATGAAGTGGAACATGGGGAAAGGGGCCTTACCTCTCCATCACAGCTCCTATCCATGAACTCGCTTCTGTCCCTCTCCACAGAGGCGAGTTTTATCTTGAGAGAAGAAATCTCGGTCATCAGATCCAGCTTCTGGGTCTCCAGTGAGGTGCGGCTTAGCAGCTCCTGCTTACGCGGAAGTGTGCATGTTTGTTGTGTTTATTCGCATACCGAGCTTCCGTCAGTATAAATAGCCATTCGTTGCACAAGCTAACATTGCTTGGTGCCTTCTGTGCAGGTTAAACAAACGGAGATTTGGCAGGCATTGACTTAAAAGCCCACGACATAGCTACCCCACTACGCTACAGTGTGCATTGCAGAGAACGGTACTGTACATTGTCAGAATCAGACTGTGGCGCGGCAAAATCCGGTGCTGAATAATTAAGATCCTGATTCTATGGTCCCACATCCAAGCTCCGCGCTTTCAACTACTCGCACTGACCAGCGTGGTGAGGGAGTGAGATGCGGTCAAATAACCTCCCACAACCTGCGCAGGCTTGGAGAGGCCATCATACGGCAGTGGACTGACAACAGGGCTGCAAACCTAAGCGCGAGTGTACGCGAGTGGAAAGTGGCGTCACCTGCTCCAGCATGTCCTCGGTGGCATTGAGCTTGTCCCTGTGCTCGTCCAGACACACCTCCAGATCCCTGATCTTCTCTCCCTGGACTTCCACCTGATCCGTCAGGACACTCACCTGCACGGGCACATGCACGCGCAAAGGTTCCAGTCTGGCAGGCCGCTCCGCTTAGTGCCGCGGGCCCGTTTAACAGTGGACGTTAAAGTGAATAAAGAAAGTGGAACTCGTGAACCGCCAAGTCCGTACAAAAACACAAACGAAGTGTTTAGTGTTGGAAGCCAAATAGAGGCAGATTAATGAACAACCGTGCTGGGCCACCGTTGTGACGCATACATGAGCAGCAAGAACGACGAGCCTTACCTGCAGTACAAGAGACTCCTTATCTCCTTCCAAACGAGACAGCCTCTCCTGGTAGCTCTCCACGCCGCCATACTGCAAGTGGCCATTGGTCTAGGCAACGCACAAGCAAAGAGAGTAAGAGACTTCGTGTTCGTCCTCAGCACGTGCTCTTAAAACACGTAACGCTTTCCATTATGCATTTTGTCCTCGAAAGTGTGTAAATATCAGTATGGAGGTTCACGGGAAGCAGCTGTCAGGGCAAAAATGCATTTTCCCATTTGCAAAGTCCAATTTTGACCTGGGTTGTGTCTGCAAGGTTTGGGTGACAATTCGAGTGATGTGTTCCATTTTCAACTTCATACTATGGTTACTTTCATATTGCATGAGCGTTAGCGGAGTCATTGTGCCCCCCCCATTGATAGGCACAGATAGGCGGGTGGGAAGAGTTAATGCATCAACGCATTCAGCCTTAGTTGGAGAGCGTTAATAACATGTAATTGAATGTGTGCAGCTTTCAGTTCTTAACAACGCAACACATGTTGCTTACCCGATAATCACGCAAACTTAAATGTAGAGGTTATGCAGGGTAAAGTGTGTTGTGTACATCAGCAGCTAGTGTTTTTTTCCACGCTCATTTTCCCCGCGAGCCTCCCAGAGAAGGGAAATTATTGTGCAACACAACAGAGCACTGCATGACCAATGAACTAAAGAGGCAATGCCCTATGCCACTGCACGTGGCAGAAATGCATTATTGATGTGACCAAATGGCTACATACATCATGATTACGGCAACACACATATATAGAATGTACACGTACACATGCAGTCCATCTTTCCGTGCACAAGTACAGCCCTAACCCTAAATTCACTGCTGGATGAAGGCTTCACCATGAAATGTGGGTCATGAGATTTAGCTGGCCATTATTCACCACGCCGTGTGTGTCAAACATTTGGTCAGTAAAATAATGTCTACGCAACACGCTCGGGATGGAATGTCTGAAGACAAAAGCAAATTAATTAAAGAGTTTCAAAGGACTTCAAAATAAAGCCGCGATTCAGGTTACACCGTAAACAGATGACCCCCAAACACGGGACACTGGCAATGTAGTTATCATGGAGCCTAAGCCAAGGCTCAGGGACGGGCAACCACATTCCGGATTAAGGCTCAGCTCCAGCCACTGTTTTTTCATAATTGCTTAATAAACAAATCAGTATGTATTTCTAGCCACATAATGGAGACCGTTTATTTTTTTCAGTAAACAATGCAGCTCTATGAATGGGGGTGGGGGGACGACGGCCAATCATGTGGATATTCGGTAGCTTTCGACTTATCTAGACTCTCAATGCATGTAATTTACAGCAACTCAACTGCCATAACAGCCCAGGCTGATGCTGGATCTCAACCACGACGCACTTAAAAATTAACACACTCAGCGACTCAATCAACTGTCACGATTCGAGGTTTGTGATTTGATTCAAACAAATATTACTATTTTTTGTCCCTTTTTACCGTCTCGTTTGAATTGTTTCTGATTGGTAGAGTTGTGTCCACACCGTTATCACAAGCGTATAATTATTAGCGTAAAGTCTACATATATTTTACATAGCAAATTCGTACAAACATCGTTATAAACCCACTTTGACAGTAAATCGTTATTATGGATTTAAATGATAATTTACTACTATAATAAGCCAAGAATATGTGTGTGTCCCGTGCGTGACGTCACTCCACGTCAACCAGCCCCCCTCATTAATAATCATGAACAGGTGACGTCCTCCACATGGACCCCCCCTCATTAATAATAATTAGCGGGTGACGTCACTCCACATGGGGGGGGGGGGGCGAGGCGCCTCCGCCCCCCTCCTTAGCGTCAACTTACAACCCTCACTACAAAGGCAGAACCATCACGTCACGCGATCTCCGTAACGCTGTTGAGACATAGAAGTAAAAAGGACGTTGTGATGAACAAGGGATTATAACCTTTAAATTAAATAAGTCTGTGTCACCGTGCCCTTACAAACTGCACACGCATTGATGCAACGATTATCACGTCGCGGTCTGCTTTTCGCTTGCAAGTTTCAGATTTACTGCAACACAGCCGTCCTTGGACGGCCAAAAGGCTAGTGATGTTAATAATCAAGTGTAATTTATATGGCTGGTTATCAGGAAGGATATTATTGCTGGTGAAGTAATTATATGTACAGGCAATTATAACAAAGTTTACCATTACCACATAATTGAACGTGATGACCCAAGCATGCATGAATTAAAATTAGTTTGTTCGTTCCAAACAACTTGATAGGTATATATACAACTAAAGAATGAGTATACAATAACTCCAACGACTAGTCTTCAAGTTATATTTACACTGCGCTGAAACCTCCAGCCCTGAAAATAAAATCACGAGCGAGTACACGATGGGAAATTTGCCTGGGCTTGTTAAAACTTTCGTGCCCAATGCGAGCCCTCCAACCCTGCTCCAACTCCCCAGGGCTACGCAAAAGGAATGAGCTGCCGAAAATAAGGGGGGTTGTAACGAGTTCAGACTAAAAAAAAATCTTTAACAGTCCATCTCATTTGCTGCCTGGCTGGAATGTTTGGCATGTGTGAGCCCAGGAGCGAGGGCTGAGGTTTGCAAGCACGATGTTTGAAACGGCGTCTAAATATTGAAAAGCGAGACGGTTAAAAGTTTTGGAGGGGTTTTTTTTCCTCCGTTCAGCAAACAAATCAAACGTACAATCAGTTGCTCTTCGAAGCTGCTCAGATGCCAAACAACCACACGAAGTTTCTATCAGTACCACCGAGTAGGCGTCTGGGGTTGTGCTGTGCGATTCATTGCCTGGATGCAATTTAACTGCATTCGACGGAATTGTATTCAGTTCAACTGGGAAAGCTCCGAGCACGTGCAGTGAAACGTCGGACATCATGCCGAACAGGACGCAGTACAACCAGAAAACGCATCATCGTAGACCTAAACAAACGTCCAGTGCTGACTTCCAGGTTAGTGAACCAAAATAATACATAAATACCGTTTATGGGAAACTGAAATATACAATTTCATAGTCCTAAACATTAGTAGTCTTACTTTTTGCAAAGAACAAATCGAGATTGCTTACTGCCATTTGCCAAATCATTATCTCTTTAGCACGTCTTCATAAAAAGATAACAACACCAATGTAAAAGCAGAACATTTAGCTTATGCCTGAATCAGAAACTAAAGATCCAGTGCAATGCTTCCACAGGTACTTCATGACACCTGAGGAAAGCCCTTTAAATGTAAACAACAAAAACACAAGGTACTAACTTTCTGCTTTAATGAAATGATACAATAAGTGACATGACAATAAAAAAATAACAACAGAGTTTTGATTTTCCCATCACTGGCAGGAAAGAACAATAAACATTAGACAGTGACCATGCCAATGGGTTTATTTTACTGAGAAAATTCAAAATTTCTCATGAAAAAGCAGGCCATAATAAAACCCATGTGTCCGTAGGATGCCTCTAGAATAACGACGCCTACCCACAACACAAATGCCAACCACGAGCAAGCACCCACAAATCTGCTTTCCGAAGAGCGCCCTCCCCCCTTTCGTCGCACTCCCAGCGGCCTTACCCTTTTCAGCCAGGTTATCCGTCGGTACGGTTCCGCCTGAGGCCACTCGGCCATGCCCCCAAGCACACGTTGGTGGGTCACTGGGCAGGGGTCACGGGGACGGGGGAGGGGGGTGGTAGCGGAGGACGCCGCCGGACCCCAGACTCGGCGGATAATTTCGTGGCGAGTCGGTGGAGAGCGCCGGCCCTCCGTGCTCCGTGTGCGACGCGGGCAGCGCTCTGCGGGGGCCCTCCGCCAGAGGTGCGTAACTCAATCTGAGCCTGACGGAAGAGCGGCGACCTGCAGGCGTGCGTCTTCGCACCCCCTGGCCGTGCACCCCCGCCCCCCACCACCCACCCACCGCATGGCCGTGAAACTCGATTCCTCTTCCTCTCCCCTCCCCACCAAAGCGTTTATAGCACGGAGTCAAGCGTTGGGGCGCGGGTGTTTTCCTCGCTAAAGGGTTGTGAGCTGCTTTGCTGGTATTTTACGCAGTGCCCGACAACAGTAATGTAACATATTGACTTAATTATCGAGGAAGGAAAAATTTTGTCAAAAAAAAATTCCATACCTCTTAATCAGCACGCTCAACGGAGTAATTCTGCAAAGCAAACTTATTCTGTTCGTGCCATTTTTAAGACAACTTTCCTTGTAACCGGGTGTTCACTAATGAAAGGCTCAGTTTAGAAGCATTGAATCTGGGCCAACTGCTGGGAATATTTATCCCACACTCATACAACACTGTCTTATTGTCTCTCACATGTTCTCTTAAAACTGGTAGGCTAAACACCACAGCATACATTCCCTGTATGCGTTCGCACACAACCTCCCACACACACCAAGAGCGCAGCAGATTGGATTGCTGCCCAAGGCAACTACCCTCATCACAGTCAGGGTGCTTGGAGTATTTGTGAAAATTGCCTCATTGTACAGACTTCCCTGACAAGGCCAGTATATGTATTCTCCCAATATTAAATTGGGAAACCATACCTGTGGCTCTGGCCCTTCCAATTATAGTTTCTTCATGGAAAACAGGCAGCCGAGCCGCAAGGAAAAAATCTAATTTACTTCGCTCGGCATCAGATCAGGGGATGCAAAAAGCTTAGCTCTGGTATTGTGAAAACAACTTTGACAGCATGCTGACCTTGCCAAAAACAAAAAAAAAAACTAAAACGGCACCGCTGTGCTCAGCTGCCTGCTGCCTCCACGGCAGATAAATGGAGCAGCACGAGTTTAGCAGGCGCGCTGGAGTGCATAATTCTGGGAAACGTGCGAGTGATGGTCAAAATGTTGTGACAAGTGGGACCTAAAACGGACAACGGGCCTGTATTTATTACTCGAGGTGCAATTATTTATCCTCACGGCAATTCTATGCATTGTCACGAATCAGTGTCGCAATTCGATTTGAGAATATATATATTTTTTTCACACAGTGGTGAATTTAGCATCTAATAGTGGCTGTGGAGGGTCACATGAACCCATTAAACTCAACCATTTATGAATTTAAAAAAATATTGTACTGTAACTAACGAAATTGCTTCACCTGCACTTATGACAGAACTGTTACTGTTGTCGCCACCCCTAATGGTAATGGACTGAAATATTGAAGAAATGGAAATGCGGCTCAAGATTAGGCACGACAAACATCACGTTTGTTTGACATTATACAGCATCTCGTTCTCAATTCTCAATGACGTCGCTTGTAAACGTCACGGAAAATGAAGATGCCACATGTACCTCACTGGTTAAAAATCAACTCTAATGCACTCGCGCGCAGCCCGTCTAAAGGCAACTTCTGAGAAGGTTAAAATAAATAGTCATTGCGGAGACCTTCACCCACGACTCATGGCCTCCAGTAATGTATCTACATATTCTCCTGACTGTCACATCTTGTTTAACATAAACAACTCTCTGTTATTTCTTTCATGCATCTCTCCGGCTCCCACTACTCAAAAGAGAAACCCATGAATTTGTGCCAACTTTTTTTTCATGAACACAGTGAAAAGCCTTGCTCTGCTGATGTTATCAACCCTTTTATGAATTTTAAAACTCCAATCCTACTCCTTTCAAGTCCTAGGACAATGAGCCCCCTTTACCAACGACTTTTCCCCAAAGCTAAAAATCACACGGTGTAAAAACCACAAATGTCAAAATGTTACGTTCGTTATACAAAACCATAAACCGCCAGCTGCTGGCTCCTGAGCACGCCGTGAGTTGTGATTATAAGAAGCACGAAGCGGCTCATGGAATAACAGTGAGAGACGGGAAGAGGAACACGTGGCTTACAAAACATACATGCGTTAAGAGACATCTCACTGACTGTAAAGAAAGGTGAAGTGGGCTTGGGCAGGGCACGTTGCAAGAAGAAATGTAAGCCGGTGGTCGAAGACGATCGACGGCGTGACAGGCGCCGGAGAGAACGTCAGGTGCAGATGTGGATCAACGAATTCTGCTCGTGTGCAGAAGCTAAACACACTGTTGAATCGTGACGTGAGAGATGGCAACATGCTTTGGATGCCTTCGTCCAGCAGTGGATAGATCATGGCTGATAATGACAATCATGAAACTATGCTGCTATGAGCGATGGAGACAGCTTGGGCAGAATTCACTTGACAGTACATACAGTCTCTACCAGAGCGAGCGATAACAGTGCACATTCCAAGTTGAAATGTTCATTATATTGCATCAGGCAGTTTGCGATTGCCCTTTGCGGAGGAAGTCCTCACCATGCCGCAGTGCAACCAGTCCGCGAGGGCGTCGACGGTTGAGTCCGGTATCTGCGACCTCAGTGTCTCCCTGTCCTCTTCTCCTCCCACCGTGTCCAGTGCTCCACGCAGCTCCTCCACCAGCTGCAGCACGCGCAGGCCGCCCAGCGAGCTCATGGTGCCGCCGTACGGAGACACGGGAGACTGGCAATCGAAAAGCCCATTGCCGTACTCCATGCCCTTCGAGCCTGCGTGAACACGGTGACGGGCGGGCGAGCGGGTAGGTGGGTGAATGGGCGAGCGAGCAAACATCGTAAATCCTTTACGACAGCATCCGGCGCTCGTTTACATCTGTACGAGGGATGCCACCAGTACGGTTGGTTATCTTGCGCACACCTGTGGTGATTCGACAACAATACTGACAGCGGCTGAACAGGACTGCAGTTATCTCAGACTGTCTTGGTATATGCATGTATAGCCCTTAACAATCCACAGTTGTCCAAAAGCCTTTTCATGCCTTTCGGCTATGGGAGACGTTTGACCACACTTCACCACGCTGGTTAGTGCAGGTTGGTGAAGGGGGTGCCCAGGACCGGTTCAGATCTCACTCATTACTGGCAATCGCCATGGCCGGGAATCGAAATGAGGTTGGCAAGTGCACAGCGCAATGCGTAAACCCACTTCCACCCCCGCCCCACCCAAGACTGTCTTTGAGTGCGAGAGAAATCCACACGTGCGCATCCTGCAACTGCAATGTGTGTTCATGTGTTAAGCGGACCCGTGCCTGTCTTCAGATGCCTATTCATGATTAAACAAAAACCTTCTACAGATATGAACGTACGAGAAGCTGGGCGCACACCACTGACTCCCGCAGACACGATGAACCGATGGCAGGCAGGGAGGGAGGTACCTGCGATGATGCCATCCATCTGTTCAAGGGCAGCAGCCAGCATCTCACTGGCATCTGACATGTTGGCGTTAGTGTTCCGTTACTGCAGCACGGACAGCCACCAAAACTCCCTCTCCTCTGCAGCAAAGCAAAGCAAGGGGAGGGGCAGAGGGAGGAACAGAGACGCACAGACATGTTTAATTTATACTTAGCATACTACATTATTTGTGACTATTATTTGAATAATAAACGTAAGCAAACATGCGAATAGGAAAATGCCAAGGTAAAAACGTGTCACGCCGAATGTGTCAGCAGACAAGTATTCTTCAGGCTTGTTTGCCGAGACAAGCATGAGCTTGTTTTGCTCTAACAGCGTCTGATTTCCTATTTTTTGGTGCTAGCTATTTAAAAACCCTCACGCGGCAAACAGAAATACTAGAATAACATACCGAGCATTAAAGGCAATATGCTATAAAAATAGCAACTTGCGGCACTTTGCCTCATTCTGCAAGCATATGGGAGTGAAGCAGTTGAGCAGGAAGAGAAAGTCGGGCTCTTGTCTAAACTCAAACAGAAGGAAAGCTATGTGAGCAACCCTTAAGCAATGCACATTGAACTTTGAACTCAAGAGTTTTCATGCAACAGAGGGGGAGCTAAATAAGGGCTCTCTACTGTCCATTCATGAGCCAGTTGTCAGAGCAAAGATGTCTTTAACATGTGTGAGGTGCGTGCGGAATATAAAATCAGGCGACATCCCATGTTTACAGCCCACTTGCAGTCCACTCCGGACCTGTCCATTGTACGCAATTATTTATCATTATTTGTGAGATGTAAATAACTGACATAAAACAGCCGCAGGGCCACACAGCGAGCCAAACAAAAACTCTAGCTCACGTACGTCGCTTGCGTTGAGTGACGGAAACCGTGCTCCAACCGACCATTAACTCAAAGTAGAAAAAAACTTCACCCGCCGTGAACTGACCATCCAAACCACCCTACCAATCACGTGGCCCCCACGAAAGGCTGGGCCAACAGAAGGCACAATAGGTTGTTCATTGATTATTTGGTCCTGGAAGGCAAGGCTTTGTTATCCAAAGGAGGGAAGCATGGGGTGCAAATGTGGAAATTGCCAATGAGTACACAACACAGCAACACCAAACGTGCGCATTGCAAAACCAGCCATGTAGAGTTCACTTGTGCGCGCTATGCCACAGATATAGAATTGGTCACCGGGCCAATCGGTATACCTTGTGCTCCTGACAATGTCCTGTTGTAAAGGAAGATGTTAACCTTCACCTCAATTTCCTTCCACGTTTGCGCAATTGTTTCCAAGTTCCTGCAGGTGAAGGTCTCTCCAGTTTTACTTATTTATTTATACGCGCACCAAACACGACACAATGAAATAGAATTACCACCAGAAGGTGGACGGTACTGGGGGAGAATAGGTCTGTTATTAATTACAAAAGAGTCCTGGTTTCAGGTCATGTCACAACATAGCAATAAACTAACGGGGTTTGGCAGAGAACAGAGAGAATGATGAATTTCTCATGTGGTCCACAACCACGCATAAACAAAGGTCACTACTCGGCAGTATTTCTTGAGTGTAAGCAAACATTTGCGATAGGCTGGGTTGTATTCTGCTGTTTGTATCTCTGAGCTGCAGTGAAACCTTCCATGTGCATCACTTTGAGGTGCAAGTGTTCTGGCATTTTATGAGCTTAGAAAGCTTGTAAAAGGTTAATAGAGAATTCGCATGCACAAATCTTCTGGCTGAAAACACGGAAAATTGAGGCGAATAACCATTCCAACAAAAGAAAGAAAAAAAATCTACCAGCACCTGGGCACTTTCATTGTTCACATGTTTGGTTGAATGACTCATGGTGATTTCCAAATGTCAAAATGCTTAGAGTATCAGGGTCATCACTGCCGGTCAGGCATCTGGCAAGGTAACCTTTGTGCAGTACAAAAAAAACAAATAAGTGTTTTTCTTCATGAATGTACACCTAATTTTTGGACAAAATACTAAATATGAAATCTATATATTTTATTGTCACATCATGTTATAAGTTCTTGTATACTACTAAAAAGATATATATATTTTAATTTTTTTGTTAAGCTTTGTCAGCACTGTCAAAACAATGCAGATCATCCATGATAACGACATACCACACACTGACAGACCCGTGGAAAAGAGGCACAAAGGAACAACATTAATATGACAACTCCTGGCCACTCTGGGAATAGAGATTGAAAGTATATGTCTCGGATGGCTTTTGATAATGAAAAAATGTATTGCAGATCCTGCAATAAAAAAAAAGCCTTGAGTGCAGATACTTGCTTGCCAAACACGCGCACACACACACACACTCCAAGAACAAACTAGGGCACAGGCTTCCCTTCACAGCCCACACGATCCTTGCGCGTGTTCATAAATATTTCTTAAAGCAAAGTCGACACATTTTTAGGTTGTACCGCAAAGGAGAGGACCGCATCAACAGGAGAACAAACAGCAGAACGGCTTTAATAGACAGCGACTATTAACTATTCATAAAAGGCTCCCATGCTGCATCAGCTATACAGCATTTGTTTTAAATTACGTGTTGCCATTGGACCAATTACAAATTGCTCTCTTCACGAGTTCAGGAATTGCCACTATTTGCGGTGGCGATTTCATTCAAGAATCAATTCCCTTGTTTCAATTGTGTCGCGAATGGTATGTCTACGAATGGTATTTCTACGAACAGTATTTCCATGAATAACCTGGGATGACACAACTCAGTTGGTTTAGAGACCGGAAGTGGTGGCAAAGCTCCGTTGCCCCGATGCGTCACACGGCACAAGAAGGAGAAAGGTCGAACGCAAAAGTGACTGTACTGGCTTCTAGTGGCAGCAGGAGTCACATGAACCCATTATATACAGGGTATAAGAACTGAAAACAATACATTCTCACACGCACAATTCTACGCATGCATCGTGAATGTAAAATCGATGAATCGAGGTGTTGTTATTTACCTAATGACCGTCATGAAATGATGCGGAGAGACGAAAGGCTGTGAACGGGTAGCCCATCACCGTTTACAATGAAGAGACACTTCACAGAGGGTTACGGTCTTATGATTCCTCTCTCTGTGCACTCCAACAAAACCTTCTTGCGTGGGTATGAAAGTCAGATTTAAAACCACTTCTCCATGTGACTGCATCGAAAGGCAAGCCACGTGTAGCCACACGTCATGGTCCAGAGAAAGCCAATTAACACGATAACTCTCGAGGGGGTAGACAATCGAAACGAGATGACATCTGCTGCTGCTGCTGCTGATCAGTACTTTTCATGCACCAGTCTTGAGGCTGTAACACACCAAGAACTTCACAGATACCTCATGGCATGACGTCTAGAGAGCTTAATTGTCCGTATCAATTGGTATGCTAAATGGATGAGAAATTACCCTCGTATTTCACCGCAGTGAATCAGTTCCTCATACATATTTATGAGAACGGGTGCGCTATGATGGTGCAGTGGTGGTGCGGTGGTTAGCACACTGCACGATGATTCTGGCAAACTAAGTTCAAATCCCGGCGATGGCTATGATAAGTGGTCAGTGTATTTGAAGCAGTGTGGTTAGGTAATGTAAAACGATCCCTCACAACTGGCATGGCATGGGGAAGCAGTCATCCAACAGCAGATTGTGAAACGGCTGAATATTATAGGTTTTACTATTATTAGAAATCAACGCATCAAGCATTGCTTTCTGATCCAGTAAGCATGCAAGCATTGGTCCACATATTATTGCAGTGGAAACGAAGCATTACAACTAAATAAAAATTAACTTCTGAATATTGTGTCATATTTTCTGCTGCCCAAGTAGTCTCAAGACGACCGCTTTAAAAAGCAGAAACGAGAATGAACCAAAAACGCCTGCAAGCAGGAAGGAAGTAATCAAACATATTAATGGCCCGCATTAAATCTTAACTAGGCCGCACTGATAACGGGTGTGGCGTGTCTAATAAAATCAATAAATACAGCATTAGCGTGGGATCGCACATTACAGCGCTCATTAAATTATTCACACGTACATTCAGCACATAAAAATATTTTATTGTGTGCTGCTGGTTGAATGCCAGGAGGGAAGATGCAGAGAAATGGACCACAAAGACCGAGCTAATCCACAACTGTCTGCAGTTCACGGAAGAATGTAAACACGTCTACAGATGTAGTCTACAGTTAGCACTTACAAAAGAACAGTTCATAAACAGATCGCGGTTCAGGTCATCCGATAACTCACCTCTTTCCGGCACATACAAGAAACGCACAGATATAAATGTACTTTCTGCTTAATGTATGGCTTTTTCCGGCCCAAAGAGCACCCGTTAAGGAACTAAGGAACGGGCGGCACAATGAAACAGAAAAGACATTGCTTCTGTAAAGATGGCAAAGCATGTGTTAAGCACGTAACAGTGTGGGTATAATGAATCACAGCTACCTTTGAGATAAACTGCCAGGACCACCGAGGATCTATACATTTAACTACAATGCAACCTTGCCCAACAACAAAATTTGCCTCTATTATCTAGAAACCAAACTGCCAACCGATCAAATGAAGAACGACTCTAAATTTCATTGCAGAACAATGGTAACTGCATGTGGAATTTTTAAGGGGAAATATTTACAACAACAAGGCAGTAAACAGCACTCTTAATAATTGCTCAATATGAAAAATAGCACTACGGTACGTGTACATTAGGCTTACCAATGCGTACACGTAACGACTTCGATAAATCCTCAGTCAAAGTTAGACCACGCAAACACTGCTCAGGGGCTAAGCTAGACTAGGGTCAGAAAGCACTATGCAAACAAACGTCCCATTAACCATTCATGGCGCGGGCCTGACAGAGCAGGTGGAAAAACACAGCACGCACACACTGCTGCCGCCTGCCATAATAGCGGGTATAAACAAGTACAGTAATGCGTGGAAAGAGCAGCATCCGTGCCTGTCACTTGCAGCCAGTTCCAATTACTACAACGCATTCTGGTTAAGATAACAACACAGGAAAGACATACATGCGCAGGTGCCGCACGATTGTTAATCCAGTGCTGGATGTGGGGTTATTCCGCCGTACTCCTCCTGCACGGTGGTCAGGCGTTGGAGCAAAATACAGTTCAACAATGGATTTGATTCCACTGCATTCTGCTGTTCACCAAGCAGTCTGTAACACGTATCATGCACGTGATCGTACATCCGAGTACTATCAGAATCATTATCTTTATTTATCCTGGAGAAATCCGATGAGCTACGAAGCTTTTTTTCACAAAGTCCACTTGTCGGCCTCTACCCAGCTCAGCATCCGTGATCTGGGTGATTTGGCCAACGGCATTTATATCCAGTTTAAATTATTCGAAGGCGTTTTGCTAAACTACATATGAAGAACAGCACGGTCTTAAAGGGAAAAAAACGACAACAGGTAAATGATTACAGGGAGGAAAAAAAGTGAAACGCATGCTTTCAATTCTTGAGAATTCTAAACGGCTCACAAATGCCAAATGATCAGCGCCTCGAGGGAAAATAAAAGTTTCGGCTGTCAAAGTTTGACACGCAACCTCAACAACACGAGTCTGTTTTCCAATACTAGGTTAACTGTGGGGTCAACATGTGTTTGTTTGGGTATAGCCCATCGTGATTTGTTGATTTCCAATGAACTTGTGAAAAATGATCATTGATGCAAATTATACCACCTGGGTGGCACACATATCTACGATTCGGCGCTCTGACAAAGGAAAAGACGATGCCACTTGGGGAATAACTAAGCACAGCGAGTCAATTGGAGCGACTGCTCTGGACACGAAGATCCCAAAGCAACACGTTTGTCAACAGACCAGAGGGAGAAAGGATTAAGCTCTGACCACGGAGGGATGTAAAGACTTGGCTAAAACGGATTTGACTAAATTACTTTTGTCTTCAGAGTGACCTTGAGGGAAAACACTCGAGAAACAAATATCAGACAGATGGGGCCCATCATTGGTGTCGATTTCATGCAATTGTGAGTTGATTAGGGCAATTAAAATGATAATTACGATGAATTCACTCGCAAAAAATGCAAATCAGTTAAATTTACGTCACATGAACGTACACACGACAAATATATATTTATAACGGAAAACATTCACACAAATGTATTGCCAATCTGTCACGATGAAATGTCAACATGTAATCACCTTCCAGCCTTCCATATAAATCCCAAGTTACCTGTAGGATTTCAAATATATTCTCCCGGGCTATGCCAATTAATTCCACGTCAACACTGGGTAAACAGAATGCTTCACTCCCCTCTTACATCCTACAGTATTCAATGCCAATCACTATGCCGGCTGTGCAATGCCCGAGTCATTAAAACATTGGAATTTTGTTACGATAGTATTACTCATGGTATCTGTGTGTGTCATGCCAGTGTGATATTGCTAACTCGAACAGTGTATCTTAACTCCAGCAGTTCTCATTATTTTGGACAATCGCGATCCATGTTTTCATGACGACCTTTTCTATTGGCATGAAAAGTAAGCTAACGTGCACTTCATGTACCTGAAAGTTGGTAATCATGGAAAGCTCTACCATGAGGGGTCACAACGGCTGAAGTTGAGGAACGTGAGACGAGCGTGATCAGAAAACAGGTTTGCAACAATGTCAACAAGTTTACATGCAATCACAAATGTCCACGTGTCATCAATGTCATTATAATACGTGTATAAAACTAATAAACGGGTTAATGTGCTTGTGCTTATGTATAATGGGCAGTAACACACCTTCAAATATTTACAAAACCGTTAAATGTTGAACGCACTGCCTCCCGTGTTTCGCACTTAGGGCGCTCCGTGCCAGTGCCAAGTACTTGCATGGTGATTGCCAAAAATCCGTATGAACCAGCGTGTTATGTGCGTCTGATTTTTATCAGAGTATTTACCAGGCCTGCTTTACCAATACCACCCATTCACCAATAGTCGCTTGGTAGTTTGCTTGATTGCCAAGACTCGCTTTGTGTATGCTTGCCACAAGGGAACGTGCCCATTCGGCTTTTATGATTCATTACAAATCTATTTTTCCGGAGACACTCCTTGTCAGTTGCTGTCATAATCAGACACTCCCGAGGAAATATGTCTACACGTCGTGATGGGATTCCAAGGTACCTGTAACCTAAAATATGAACTAAGAAAAATGAAAACTCGAACACTGGTGAAACTACTTCAAAACAACAAGCTGCGTGCGACAGCATACCGCTGAGCGAGTAGCCTCACAATATTGGCACGTGTTGAGTGGCCACAACTCCACGTGTTGTGAAACTGTTCTGTAAAACTTACATGTGTTGCTCTCCGTGACACACAGACAATAAGGCGCTGTCGAAACGCGCATATAATGGCACACACATTATTATCAAGTCATTAAGGCGCACAAGGAATTAGTCTATAGCCACTGGGTTCATGCCGCAGGATAGCTTTGTGTTATACAGTCACGTGTGTGTTTCCCTTATTAGGTGTCCGGTGTGTACTGCCATGGGGCAGGATGCTGTCCGGGAGAGCAGGTGGGGGGAGAGGCAGGGAGAGATATGGGCAGAGACCTTCTAAGGCGGGCAGCCAGGAAGACGACTGGGTAGCCGGAGACTGGCAAGAGCTAATGGGCATAAAGAAAGTAGTCATGAAGAAAAGGCGATCCAGGGTGACAGACAGGCAGACCAAGGTTGAGTCGACTACCAGACAGAAGAGAAGCAGACGCTGCGGGGAGAGAGACAGGGGAGACCGACAATCCGGGGATGTAGTAGACACGGTACGCAGGTGAATAAGACACACGGGGGGGGGGGGGACGCATAAAAGACAGGAGGGGAGACAAAGAGAGGCGGCAAAGACCGACGGATACTCAATCAGAGGCGATAAAGGGATGAGGATTTAGACAGGACAGACAGGCAGGAGAGACAAACAAAGCCAGGAGGGAAAGGGCAGCAAAGCCAAGCAGGGTTCATGAGAAACTTAGAAGAGAGACAAACATAAAGCGAGACGGGCAGACGAGAAAGGAAGGGGAGCCAGGCAAGACAGAGACACGGGGGGGCGAGGCGGACACGGGGGGGCGAGGGAGACATGGGGGGGGCGAGGGAGACATGGGGGGGGGCGAGGGGGACACTTGGGGGGGGGGGCGAGGGGGACACGGGAGGGGGGGCGAGGGGGACACGGGGGGGCGAGGGGGACACGGGGGGCGAGGCGGACACGGGGGGGCGAGGGAGACATGGGGGGGGGGCGAGGGGGACACTTGGGGGGGGGGGCGAGGGGGACACGGAAGGGGGGCGAGGGAAACACGGGGGGGGGGGGCGAGGGGGACACGGGGGGGGTGCGAGGGGGACACGGGGGGGGGTGCGAGGGGGGCACGGGGGGGGGCGAGGGGGGCACGGGGGGGGGCGAGGGGGACACGGGGGGGGGGCGAGGGGGACACGGGGGGGGGGCGAGGGGGACACGGGGGGGGGGCGAGGCGGACACGGGGGGGGGGGGGGGGCGAGGCGGACACGGGGGGGGGGGGCGAGGGGGACACGGGGGGGGGCGAGGGGGACACGGGGGGGGGCGAGGGGGACACGGGGGGGGGCGAGGGGGACACGGGGGGGGGCGAGGGGGACACGGGGGGGGGCGAGGGGGACACGGGGGGGGTGCGAGGGGGGCACGGGGGGGGGCGAGGGGGACACGGGGGGGGGGCGAGGGGGGCACGGGGGGGGGCGAGGGGGACACGGGGGGGGGCGAGGGGGACACGGGGGGGGGGGGCGAGGGGGACACGGGGGGGGGGGCGAGGGGGACACGGGGGGGGGCGAGGGGGACACGGGGGGGGGGGGCGAGGGGGACACGGGGGGGGGGGCGAGGGGGACACGGGGGGGGGGGGGCGAGGGGGACACGGGGGGGGGGCGAGGCGGACACGCGGAACGGGGCGGACGGGGCTGCCGGGCCCGGCCACGCTGGCGCCGTGGCGTCTCCCGCATTCCGCGCATTCCGCTCCGGCCGAACCGGACTCTGCGTGGCCACGTCTGCTCGAACCAGCCACCAGGGTTAGAGGCCAGGAGACAGGGGACGCTGAGGCAAACGCGGGAACGGAGACGACGCTGAGACGAGGGAGACAAATCCAGCAAGACAGAGACGCAGACGAACACGCAGCACACCGAGTCACCAAGAGAGACCTCGAGAGACACGACACCAAGAGACGTCTATCGAGTCGACAGACACCGAGACACGGACACAGGAAGACCGACACCGAAGAACGAGAGACACGGAGCCACAGAGACACGGAGGGAGAGACGGAGACATTGAGAGCCACGGAGGGAGAGACCGAGTCTCGAGACCCCCCCAGGGCCGCGGCTAACGGACCGTGGTGCCTCCCGTTAACGCCGCCCCCCTCCAGCCCCCGTACTCATCCACCGCTCCCTCGCACGAGCCTCGCCAAGCCGATCCGTACCCGTAGATCCGAACCGGCCAGGGCCGCCTTTGTCTCCCTCTGGCCGCCGTCGGCGTCTCTGTATCTCGCCGCGCGTCACCGCCCCGCGCCTGACTCCCGCTGCTGTTGCTGCTGCTGGGGGCGTCACCACAAAGCGCAGTGCGGATAGGCGGCGCGGCCTCGGGGAGGCGCCGCCAGTGGCTGGCGATGCGTCACGTGAGGGACCGTGCGCCAATAGGAGGCGTCGGTGCGAGGGCGAGGCACGCATGTGCACTAGGGAATGTGAGAGGCGCGGGGGCGGCGTCGGAATAACTCGAGGATGTGATGATCGATACGATCAGAATGGTTAATATGATGGCTGTGATCAATATGATTAGGATGATACGATTTTTTAAAATATAATCATGGTGATCGTGATCAATATGATCAAAATACTTAATATAATATGGATGTTCAATATGAATAATACTGATCACAATCGATATGATCAGGATAATAAATACGATCAGGGTTATCAATATAATAATGGTGATCGTGACCAATACAATATGATGATCGGGATAAATATTATTAAGATGATCAGGTTTTATCAATATGATCATGGTGATCATGATTATCAGGACGATCAATTATGATCGTATCGATATGATAATAATGACCAATATAATGATTATCGTGATCCTATTGATCGACAAAATATTGATCGTTAATATGATTATTGTGAAGGTGGATCATGGTTGGGTATCATGATAGATTAATGCTCATGAATATTTTGATGATAATATAATTTCTGGTGTAAATTATAATGATGATGATGAATATGATCATGATAGATCATACGATCATGAGATTAATCGTTATGAAATACGATAAAGAGTATGTTGCTAATCATTATGATGGCGATGGATCATATATGATCATGATGGTGATTTTCGACAATCATAATCATGACATCTGTGAAAAAGGGTTTTATAGATCATCAGATTCCTCCAGGATAAATACTGATTCTGATTCTCATTGCAATGAGGAAGAGTAGTCAACAGAAGCGCTGTGTCCCACCTGCTGTTACGGCCCAAATCCCACAATAAAAATAAAACATGTTTTACTTCGTGTTGTAAATCATTAACAATACACGTCACTAGCATGTTGATGTACCACCCCCTTAGCAGATTGGGTTGTCTTACAAGAAGATATCTCCTGCTCGAATCGTAATGCTCATTACAAGGGCACCCGGATATTTATTTGTAATAAAATCATGAATTCCATGAAGCCCCCCTACCTCACATCACTTTATTTGATTCATGGTTCCCTCAATGGAGGCTGAAGTTGTTCGAGTAGCCACGATCAAAAGTGTGTAATCGTTAACCGCGTGTAACTTTAATGTCGGCCAAACGTTGACATTTCAGTTTCGTTTATTTGGTAGAGCCCTGCGAGCCATTCGGCTCTTGAATCGGGTGCAACCGCAACAAACAAAAGACAAAAACATGAACAAGAAAACATCTTAAAGTGAATATGTGACTATGTGCAAACAGAAAATCCAAGAAGACAGCAAAATATTGCAGAAACAGCACCGTACACTAACGCTGTGTGCAAAAATCCCAGTGGGATGCAAGTCAAACAACAACAACAACCACAAAACATGTTTCCTGGGTTCCAGCTGTTGGTTAAAGGCATCAATTTCCCCCCGTCCCTTCCTTTTATTCGCTGCTGCTGCTGCTGCCCAGTGGCGACCTCCACACAGCACGGACCACGGGGAGAAATAACGACTCGGGGGCACATTCACAATGACCAACCATCACGGCGGATTTCACCACTCAGCTACTCCTCACGCAATCATCCGGCTCAACCACAGCCGCACGAAGCCGACGCAGCGTGAACTCCACGTTCATCTCTGCTGCTCGTCCTCCCTACCCCATGCCTCTTGCTCCCTTCTCCAGGAATGCACCCGCGGAGTGAGCGTGGCTCGCTCGAGGTGAAGGGTCTCCACGGACGGAGGCGCCTTCGTCAGAGGTTGTTTGGTGGCTCCAGAAAGATCCGCCGTAGTCTGGGGGTATTTGGCCTACTCTTCCACGCGGACCATACCAGCAGTGGAGCGACAACAGGGTTGTGAGTTCATGGATTACATCAGCGGTCGGCAAGCAATATAACAAGAAGAACCATTTTTTTGTAGAATTCGGTAACAAAAACTAAACCTAAACATCTCAAGAGCGGCCAATGTAACGTGAATTCGACACGGCGGTCCTGAATAAAGAAGCGGTCCTTGAAGAGCCGCATGCTGGCGACCCCTGGGTTACACCTCTATGGACAACCCTCTAATTTACTCCTATAACGTGGCGGAAGTCGCCTAAGAGATGATTATTGAATGTTGTTTACCCAGCAGAGCCTCACTGAGTCTCAAGACTATTTTGCAGGAGGGTCGTGCTCAGTTTTCACGGACGAGAGCGATGTTGCTGCTGCTGCTGCCCGTAGTCCCAAGTGGGTAATGTGCAGGCTACGTTCCAGAATAGGGATATTTGGCCAATTCCAATGGCGTTGCGTGGTTTGTCTTAGCTACGTGTTGAGGGTGGAACTCGAAGAAGATGAAGAACAACCATGCAAAACAGCGGGAGAGAAAACACACAAACTAACACACGGAGAGGCGCCCCACTCGGACATTGAGCTGGGGTGCTGCTTGCTGCGAGGCACGAGTGATATCACACTGCACCACCACCACCACCTCCACGCCGCACCACGATGATGATGTAGTCCCTGTCGAGGCATAGAGGGCGCTACAAGTCCAGGAAACAATGAGCTTTCTACAAATAGTATTAATTAATCGCCACTCCCACGGTCGTGGCCTGCACCACACACATTTCACACACACAAAATAATAATCGTCAATTACACCGCCCTAAAACATATTGCTAATTATATATTCCATTGAAGGCCACGCAGTATTATTGGCGAATACGTTGAGTTTGTTGTTGTTGTTCATTGTGCTTGTGCACCACTTAAAACGCAGCAGCATCACCAGATAATGTGTTTAGTTTAGAAGACACCGATTTAACACCTCGGTGTTTGAGGAGTGGTGGAGTGGTGAGCACACTCACCGCAACCACGAACCCGGCCGCGGCTAACATCAGTGGCGAGTGACATCAACAACTACCCCGGAGCCTTCTTCCCTGCGCGCCCCTTCACCGAACTGCCCAACGCGGTGAAGTATGGTCAAGTAGGAATGCACTCCCAGGAGAAGCTCGGCGTGGGGCGGCCTTCATCCAGCCGTGGATTGATCACAGCTGATCATAATGATTATTGCCACCGTACTGCAAGCAGTGTCTGTCAGGACCCGTTGCTGGAATAACACGTGCCGTTCTGCCTGGAGGCATGTTGAACTTCTTTCACGCCATACGTAGCCAACCGTGCTGTAGGTGCGAGGCAAGGACAACAGAGGTCGGTCTGCGTTCCTATGGGACACTTTTGAAAATTCCCCGAAATGAGAGCAGCACTAGTGTGGTATAATGAGAGCGCGTAATGGGAACTTCACTCACAAATATGATGATGAGTGGGAGGAAAAATTCAATTCGCTGTATTATAATGAAAGGAGGGGTGGTGAAGCAGTTAGCACACTACTGTACTATTTTTTAAATACGATTTTCGTACTACTATTTTACCAGGTACGGCCCACTGAGCTGTATAGATCTTTTTGGGAAACGACCTGGCCGCAAATGATAGCTCAATGAAGTTGCTTATCGTGTGAAAATGTATAGCAGCCAAATACTCTAAACGCATGCTGATTATACATGTGGAGGGAAACTCCGGAGGGCCCGGAGAAAATCCCACGCGATCATGGAGATAACATGCAAACTTGGACCCACGACATCCTGTATATCAGGCGAGGTAGTTAACATCTCGCTGCCGTGGCGCCCTCACTGCGCTATGAACCCGGCGATCTGAGTAAATCGATTCCCGGTCACGACTAACATCAGAGTGATATAAGAACCTGTTCGGTGTCCTGGACTCCCCCTACCACCACCCCACCTTTCTGCACCAACTCGCACTGACCAACATGGTGAAGTATGGTCAACCAGCCCCCTTGACCGACGCGGTATGGGCACAGAGCTTTCATCCAGCAGTGTGTGCACAAAAGTCCGCGTGAGATAATTGTATTACAATCATCTAGCAACATTCCAGACGTGCATTATTGATGTATACAATATAACCGCCGAGGGCGAATGGATGTAAACATCTCTGCCCGGGGGCAGTGGCCTTCACCCCGAGCCTGCACGTGGGTGTTGGCACTCGCTCGCACGCTGACGCCAACTCCGCCGGGCTCTCTCTGAGCTGGCAGAATAGCGCTGGCTCCGTCTCTTCGCCAAGGAGGGTGGGCTGAGAATGGCAGTCCCTACGGCCAGGTTGCCCGCCAACCAAGGAGATGGAGCGATGAAATCAACTCGGACGCAGGCGCTGGGTGGATTGTTACATTTCAGAACCGTAAGAAATGTCGAAGGCTTGTCAAGGCACTTATTCATTCAACAGCAGTGGATTGACGATGGCTGGTGATGATGATGATGGGTGGGACGGGCTGACTGCGATGAGATCTACAATGTTAAACGTACATTTGTCCGTGTGAGTAATGTGACGATTGCAGGTGACTCGAGGACACAGTCAACAGGGGGGGGGGGGGACAAACCAACTAACAGCCCCCGAGAGTCGGAGGGGGTGCTGAGCCGTCCTCTGCTGAAGACTCAGCCCCCTTATGCATCGTTACAGTCACGTGCTTATTTCACATTGTCTCTCGTGGCCCCTGCATTGATGTATCCATCCCTTAAAGCGAGGTCACTCCGCATGGTTACCACCTTGCAAATACGGGGCAGAAATAATTCCACATCCTCAGCGTAAAACTCCACGACGGGGATGGGCCTCGGAGTAGAACCACGGGGGGAGGTGACGAGGCGTCGACTGCGCAGCTGCTGCGGGGTCTGGCAGGAAGGAAGGAAGCGACGGCGAGGGGCAGTGGTGGCATCAGCGACATTGTCCGCGATGACCTTTTTAACTCTGAATATGGCAGGGAACACCGGTGTTGATTATTCGAGGGGGGGGGGGGTACGATTCTATAGTGGGGGGATTTGCGGGGCGACCCACGTCCGTAACATAGAATCACTCCTGCATGTGACAGCACCAATCGTTAGTGGCGCGTCAGTCAGCCGCGGCATTATGAAGCGGAG